GGTTAAATTAGATTTGCCAAGCATAACTAAGTGAAAATATCAGAATTTCTAATAAATATGAAGTATGTTCAAGAAATACTAGGACAAATGTCATTAAGGCTAATCTACTAATGAAAACATTTTAAATCATAAATATTATTATTTTTCGTGTATTAGTTGATATTTTAAACAAAACCTGATGTTACTATCTTATCTCAGTTTATTATTACACGTCGTTAAATTCAGTCAATTTGTTTTTGCGCCGTTTTCAACATGTCTGAAATTAACAAATAACGTGCGTGAATTAAGTTTTGCTGGAAATTTGATACAAATGCAACGGAATCGTACGCAATGATTAAAACTGTTTTTGGGGAAAGTTCATTAAGTCGTTCCATCACTTCGAGTGGTTTAAATGTTTTAAGATTAGTCGACAGTCACTGAAGATGATCCACATTCTGAAAGACCGTCGACATCCAAAAATGTATGATATGGTAAAAATGTGCGAAAAACTGCGAAATTACCGCAAATTAACGGTTAGTAAATTGCAAATATGGCAGATATCATAATCGGATATTGTCATGAAATTTTAACAGAAAATTTACAAATGATAAGGGTAGGTGCCAAATTTATCCTGCGATTGTTTACTCTATAACAAAAGAAAAATCGTTTAGCAATATGACAAGATCTTAAAAATCGTTCTGCTGATTTCAATTTCATTAAAAACTTCATCACAGGCGACTAAACGTGGGTCTATGGATACAATAGGACATAAAGTCATACATTAAATACATTAATGGACAATGGCTTCAAGATGTAGAGGAAACTAAAACGAATATGGTAACACAACTTAAAGCACTTTGGAATAGTTTCAAAGGACTTTTGAAAAATGACATGATTGCTGGAACCATTGCATTTCGTACGGAGAAGAGTATCTTGAAGGAGATAACTTTAAATTATGTGTAATTTCAACTTTGAACTAAATATTCAATTAAATTATTAAAAATAAAATATTGGTACTTTTCGAACAGACTTCGTAATATTATTTTTATAAAAATGTGTACACAAGTATTTAAAAATACTTACAGGTATATTTCCGAGTATTTAAAAAAAATATAAATATCTTAAAATCGTTTAGATTATTTAATTCGCTGGTACAAACTTGAAATGTATAAAATAGCTTGCTACTATTTTACTGTTCCTGTGTAAACTTGTTAATAACTTTGTTTGTTTATATAAAATAAAAAATTTATTATCTGGAGTTTAGTATTGAATGTAGAGATTTGAAATTTCTGTTTTGAAAAAAAAAATTTAATGAACTTAATTTAAATGTTTATTCAAACCCTATTCTTCGATTATGATCTAGATAATTTTTTAGGGGTAGTGTAAAAGATAAGTAGGGGAGAATGGAAGTTTTGGACGAGTTTTCAGATTAAATTATCAAACCATATAATAAGATCAATAGTTTATTAAAATAGTTCATTTATTATAAACTTTGAGACAATCATAAAATGTTTAAGTCTTCACTATGTTATTTCATAAAATTAATTCATTAGGCGGGAAACATCTATTCTTTTTTTATTTATAAAAAAAGTTACTTTCACCAGTCAACATACTAAACATATAACTACATTGTCTAAATTTATTATTAATCATAGATGCTCCTACTAAAACCAAATTTTCTAAAATTTGAATTGGCTTAATTATTATGAGAACTCAATGGTTTCATTAAAAAGTAATACATTGGCCCAATCAAACTATTAAAAATACAGATTACAAACCATTTTTTTCATAGTATATAACTGGCAAATAAGTGTGTACAGTTAATATAAACTGTAACTGGATTATTAAAGTAATTATTTATTATAATTACACTTAATTTTTCAATTATTCAAATATCATATATGCAGTGGCCTACCAGCGAGTATGCATGGTAGATCTGTTGGTCTACCCGACCAATTTTCAGATCTATTAAGTTTCTAGGCTCGATCCCTATGAAGTGTTTTAAAAAAAACGAATATACGATAGCAAAATAAACGTCATTAATATGCCCCCGGAGAGGACTTAGTTTCAATCCTATAGATAAAAATTACAATAATTATAACCGGGCGTGGTGTGAATTTTAATCCTGGACACGCCACTAGATTTTAATATGCTAAAATCTATCGTCAACCACTAGGTGAAATTGAAAATAAAAATTTATAAAAAAAATAACATTTATACTTCTGGCTGAAAGTAAAATAATAAAATATAATGGCCGTAAATAAAATAATAATGTGTGCTAGCTGAAAATAAATTCGTATATGTAAAATCTATTATTTCAACTCAAATGTTGCTAAGTGACTGGAATTTTTTTTCCTATAAATACGGTAAACATTCAATGAGAGTTTACGGTCTGCCGTTACTTGTGAACTGTCAATTTGTCGTCGTGAATTCATTTTGTATTTTTTGAAAATCAAGCTATTCAACAAGGTCATTATGGAATCGCAAAATAAGAAAATTTCAGAAGTAACCAAGCAGATCGAAGGAGGCCGGGACAAGTTGATTGAACTCCTCATTGAGACCGACAAAATATATCGACTGGTGATAAAACTAATTAATGATGATTTGAGAGAAATGGAATCGAGCAATCCATCCCAGCCTCCCTGTACCACCTCCGTCGTGTTGCGAGACTGTTTGAAAGATCAAAGAATGAACATTTTCCGCGTTATGGACATCTACCTTGACAATTATGATGCCGAAGAAACACAAAATATGCGGAATATTAGATCAGTGTGGGAATTTTCGCATACCTTGATCCAATTGGTCATTCCGCAATCTACCTCGTCTGAGCCCAGCATCTTAAACAATCACGGACTATTTATATTCAGCAGACTTCGGGGTATAGCTGATCAGATGGAATCTGTAGCAGGTAGAAACAAGATGTTGATGTTTAAAATGAATTTAATTCAACGTTATACTAGCGGATCGTCATGTTCAAGTTGCCCATCGTCACGCCGCAAACGCTCCTTACGACGGAGTTTTCAGTGAGTCGATCCTCAAATATTTTCAAAATCTGCAACATTTGTTTTTCACTCATTTGTGGTAGATTATTTTAAACACTTAAGTTTTTTTTTATTTATTACACATTTATGTGTTTCGTTTCATGAACACTTGTTCAATCTTTATTGTTGTTTGTTGTTAACTTTTTCCTGTTTATTTTGTTAATTTTTTTATTTAATTTTAAAATTTTGTTTATTTATTTTTTTCTCATACAATAAGACAAATTTCATTTGTAAATTAACAATGTCAATTGTTTTTTAAATAAATAAAACTGTATTCTATACTTAAAAAATATTTGTTAATTATTTTATTAATAACATCTTCAACATATATGAAACTTAGTTATAAATATTAGAACGAGATTCTGGAGGAACAACTACTTCCAGTGGCATGTCCAGCGAGTAAGTCGAGCAGGCCCGACTTACCTAAATCATGTTATCAGATCCATGACTGGACTCCATAAGATGTTTTATGATTGAAAAAAAATTAATGTCATTAATTGATGCGTACGAGGCAGCTATACCGTAGGACGGTTAGTTGTGCACCGCACTAGAATGCCGTTTTACCTTAATCCTGTTTAAAAAACGTTATTATTCATGCGGGATTGGGTCACCTAGGAGATGACGGCTAACTATACATCCAATAAGTAAACGAAAGTAGACAATAATTAAATAACAAATAATCACATAGATTAGAAATCCCTTTGAGAGTATCTTAAATTTAAGGGGTCACGGGGGGCCTTAAAATACTAGTGGCCGGCGAAGCGGCATAAAACAAAATAATTAATCTCAATTAGAACAAACAATAATTAACATTAAAAATAATATAAAACTCAGCTGTATAGATGACGCTGTTGATAATGATGAGTGGACTGTATGAGATTTTGTGGTTTTGGTGTCGAAAATCTTAGTATGACGAGTCAGAGTGTAAATCCAGGCACGTAATGGCAGATGAGAACAGACTACGGCAATGATAATGTCTAGTGATGCTTAGGGACCAATCACTAGTGCCGTTCAAGGGCACGTAAACTTTGAGCATAAGGGTGCAACAAACAAGAAATAAAAAAAACTATGCCGTACAATGGCCGAATAATTTACTATTCAAGCGAAGGCGCTTGCAACAGAAAAGGAGTGACACGTAAAAACAATCGACTGACTGACTTATGACAATGAACTGTACATGGATGAAAACCGACACGGAGGTCATCGATTTGCCGTGATTGGTGGGCAAGGGGGTGAGTAAAGCAAGATGCTGGTGATCAGCTGTCCCACGAAATAATATAATCAATGATCTTTATAACAACTGGTCAACTAGATCCTTCTAAAGGCGTTCTGTACCATACAAAAGCAATACTCTATAGGTCCAAATTATAATAGTTATAACCGAGTCTGTCCTAAATTTTAACTTATGCACGCCTTTACATATACATATACATTCATGAAACAACTTGAAAATATCATAAAAAATAATTTTAATACCACCAGTATTTTTTATAATTAGTTTTATTTTGCAAATTTTATATTATCTAATGCTTTTTTTGCTTTCCTGACGTATTATTATTTTTCAAATGCAATTGAATAGTTATAGCCGCTTATAATGTTTATTTACTATTAAGTTTTATAATAAAGTAAAATAAAAAAATAACTGAGATTTAAATTCTTTTATAAAAATAAAAAAATTCTGGATCACCAACTATTTATATGTCTTAATGATTAGACGAGTGAGCAAGTATTTCACGAAGCCTATGGTACCACTAACTGACTTATAATGATAACATAATATCTACGACAATGATGTATGTACCTAACTATTCATCTATAAGTTTTATATAATTTTATTTTAATTTAAAGTTTATTCTATAATAACATGTTATAATACATATCATAAAATGTATTATATGGTATGCATTTAGTATTACTCTAAGCTAAACTTTATAACACTATCACAATTAACATTAACAAAATCTTAAAAAAAAATCAATATAAACAAAGATCAAAATGTTATTTTATGTTTGAAAATATACATTAAAAATAAAATTTTAGCTTAATTACAATGTTGCTTTTTATTGTCACTAAGGTTGTATATTCTTAATTGACTGAGTCGATCAAAACTATGCATTATTTAATCTTATTTTGTTATTTGATTGTTTGAAATTTAACTTCAACATGGACATATATATATATATATATAAAATCAATAGACCAATAACAATAGTATATAATTTTTCATGTAAAAAATGCAAGTTTCATAAAAAAAATGATCACGGCTGACTTGCTTAATTTCCGTGGATATTCAAATTCAACGAGGGTGAACATCTGTCAAAAAAAAAAAAAAATTATAATTTTATTTTTTTTAATTATGAGTACATAATTAAACGCAAACTGCTTAGCTTTTCATTTCAAAAAATTGCTATATACAAATATTTTTAGAATAAGAAAAACAATTAATTTAGCACTTAAAACATTTTTTTTATAGTTACGTCTATCAATTCCTAATTTATTAAATTATTCGTATAATAATTTGTAAACATTAAATTTTACTAACGCATACATCATATTTATACTTGAAACTTTTTAGATTGTTTAAAATTACAATGAAATTTATATACTTACAGTGTGGACGATCTTCTTCTGGTTTAGATTCGTCGACTGAACTATCCTGTTGGATAATCTGTTGATCTGCTCCATGAGGTATCATCATTTGAACTGGAACATTAATAGGAACTCTTTGAAACATAGGTAAGTGTTGACGCATGTGTTCGGGTGAAATGGATTGGTGGGACATGTGAGGTCCTTCGTTATTGTCTTTTTCAGACACGGCAACGGTATAAAGTGCGCGCCCTTCAGCTATCGCTGGATGGTATAATACTTTGTTGGGCATAGCTCTATCCTCAACCTCTTGTTTTTGTTCTTGTTGTGATTGTTGTTGTTGCTCTGGTTGCTCTGGCATAGATCTGAGTTCGGGTAAAAGTTGTTGGAAAATAGGAATAATGTGCTCTTCGATTTGTTGTTGTTCTTGCATTTGAAGTTGATTATCAATATCTGCATTTATTCTAGCAATCATGGCTAATGGTACTGGCCCTTCATTGTGTTGAGGGTGAGGAGGCATTTGATGATGTGGAGGTGGTGGAGGTGGTGGAACTATCATATTGGGTAAATGGGTCATAGGATTATGACCCATTGGGATTGGCATCATCATAGGATGATGGGGTGACATTCGTTCCATATGGCTAGGAGCTCGTCTATTAAAAAAAAAGTTACCATTTTTATAACATTAGAAATATTATTAGGCGGCCCACTTAGCTCAGTCAATAACGCATCGTATCTCGGTGTGTAGGTCCCGGCGAACGATTCCGTTTCACTGGGCTATGTAGGTTTTCTCGTGCTCTCTGGCACAAGTAATAACTTTTAAAGAGGACTTTAAACATGATTATGATAAATGACTTATTTAAAATTATCCTCTTTAATCTTATTTTGTTTAGGGGAATGTCAAAAAATAGAATAATATTCACCTTTCATCATGCCCACTTTCGCAAATAATACTAATTCTTTCACCAGTTACGTGTTCAAAACGAGGATCGGTGGTAATGTTGAGACCAAATGGTAATCTGACAGTTTTTGGCTGATGATCCATGACTTCTTCAGCACGTTTCTTTTCAACAACGCAATTCATTCGAGAACGCTGATTTTTTTCTAATAAATTCTGTGAAAGGTTAATTTATTAAAAAATCAATATTTTTTGGAAGATACATTATGTGTTAATTTAATTAAAATACTCACTCCAATTATTCCTTCTAAATCCAAATCCATTGGTAACTTGACCTGTACTGGCGTTGGAGCCGATGGTTCATTACCACCACTTATAGCGGCTTGTTGTTGGCTTTCCACATTTCTAGAAATTTGTTGATGAACCGGAAGTTCTTCTTGTTTGGAGTCAGAACTTTCATCAGATTGCAGAGGATCCACAAGTGCTTGGAACTGTGGGCGATCAGCGGCTTCTTCGCTCTAAAAACGAAAATTATGGAATATATGCTAAGCATGAAATTATATTCTATACACCATAAAGAGCAATACCAGGTCGATTTTGTTTGATAAATATTAAATGTTCAGGAGTAAAAATATGGTGGATAGTTATATCATAGGTAAAAAATTAATGTTTTTAAGTATTGCAAATGAAATGTCGCATATAAATTATGCATAAAGATGTTGGAATAGCTACAATACACTACTTTGTTTCATAACTAATTTCTTGGTCTTAATGGTTGGTTACACAGAGTAATAACATCGGTTGAACATACAGTGACCCATATACTTATACTTCAATAATTACCATTTATATACAAGCTAAAACCGAGGTGTCTGTTGAAATGTAAAGAATGTTTTATATAATTGAAGTTGGTGCTATTTTCATTTATTCACATCAATTCTAATTCAAATTTACGTTTCTGTCATGATAATTATTTTTTATTAATCATGTGTAACGAGTATAAAATTTAATCCTAATATTATATTTAATCCTTTATTAAATTTTAATAAAAATCATGAAAGAATTCATACAAATACCAACAAATCAAATGATAAAATTACGTTTTAAGTGATTTTTATAGAAATTGTTTTACTAATTATTGTTAGCCGTGGCGTGACTGTTGAAAATTTATATAATATTTATTTTTTGAAGAAATAATGTCTTTAACGAGCATATGACATTTGTCAACTAATATAATTTTATGTCATCATAAAAAAAAATTATAATAAACCATTCTATATAAATGTTTACTCTGTTTTTATCGAGTATTAAGTAATGGCAATAAGTAAAATAAAATTAACTGGGAAGCTGGTTTCACCGTCTACACCTGGATTATAGTGAAAGCCAAACAATTCTTATCTGAAAACTGTTAAATCGTTAAATGAAAAAAAATAAATTCAAAGAAAGTGATATTCATTCTAATGTTCTCACACGTCATTACAGCTGTTTAATTCGCAGATATTATGTCTGATGTCTCTTATACATGAGTTTTTTAATATGAATTTAAATGATGTTATTATAAAAACTGTTTCACCATATGTAAAAAAAAATGTATTTTATAACAAAGTGCGTAATGTTTCCTTACAATAGATATTGTCATTGTGTACAACAATAGTTAATGTATTATGAACATACTTGAACTTCCAAGTATAATAGTTTCTTAGTTGGTTAATAACTATATTTTAAAGATCACAAATACTTAGTCATAATTTTTCATAAATATTTATACATTTTTCAAGTAAAACGATGGTATCTCTCCGATAGACCGTAAAATAGATTTGTATTACCTGTCTGAGAAGAGCTTCGGCGTGTAACAATTGAGAACATGATGCATTTGCTTGCAAATAAGCAGCAGCCAACATGAATGATCCCAAAATGAACGTGCAGGCTACTACTGTGAATGCAGCTATTCTTGCTATTTGAACTGAAGTGGGTCGAGATTTCAGTTTATAGGCCTGAAAAACAGCAAGAATTATTTTATTTGAATGTGTTAATTGATCGTTTTATTCGATTAAAAGTATAATAGAGCACACGTTTCATTCTTTCTTAAAATTTTATGATACTTCACGTTCAACCATACAGTAACCATATAGGAATTCAAATAAAAGATAATATTGCAAAACACATAACACCAATAAATGTTAATATTTGAATAGGACTTTGATTTTTTAGTAATTTTCTATAATTTATTTTCAATGCGATGCTGTGTGAACACTCACGTTTTCAAGTGCAATGCGCATCTTTATAATACTGAATAAACGTGATGACAATTAGTCACGATTTTTCATGACTAGATTCATGATTCGATCAGTTTTTCTTATAGTTTGTCCCTAATTGTAAATTTAAGTCGGAGTTTCACGTTTTTACTAATGCAAATAAATATCAAACGTTAATAGTCATATTGCAATAAACAAACAACCAGCAATGAATTCAGTTATATGGTGATATAGGCCATTGTATTAACTTACTATTTACTTTATCAGTGAGATATAATTAAAAGCTGTTTGCTTATAAGAATAAATAATCGCAGTAACAGCCGTAACATCGATACGATGAATTATAAACAATATGTATCAACAAAGCGACTGTTGTTGTGATAACAAGAAAATGTGTGATTGTGGTTTTTTTTTGAGTCTGGTACTTTCTCGATTACCATTGCTCTGTAACGGATGTCCGAATCTATACCTAATAAAATCAAATTAGAAGGAAAAAATGATCGCTTTGAATGGACAATGGGTTTGGAAGTAATTTTACTAATTTGGTTAGATTACAGTAATAGAAAACAATCAAAATGGAAAATTTCCATTGGAAATTTCGATAGGCCAATGAACGTAAACCATTAAACGTTGACATTTTATTTTTTCAATGTCATTTGTAAATATTTTCATAATAATTACTGCGTGCACCAGTAATTATTATAGATTTTCATGGTTTAACGAACAAAAATATGAAAATATTGTGTTACAATACTGTGATCTAATGGATATGATTGTCGGATGGGACGTCCTGTATACATGGAAATGACTAGCGAAAATTCGAATCCCATTTTTCTTTTTTTTTGTTTCACGATAAAAAATGTTTAACTGAATAATAATGTTGTAGAGTAATAATCGGGAAAGCGCTGTAAACGAAATTTAATGGCGAACCAATTGTTTTTCATGAGTATTTACACAAAGACAGTGATAATGTAACCAGGATATAATAACCGCGTAACGTGTTAGCCCCTGTTCATGAGTCTTATGAATAGAAATTACTCAACATTAGGAGTATTAGACACTTTCTTTATTATTATGGAGATTATATTTCCTAATTAAAACATCTCATTTTTATTGTTCACGTCTGCAAACCTTTAACAATTGCAGAAACGCTTTATGTTTGGAAATATTGATTATTGTTATTGTAAGTTGACGAAATATAGTACTTAACAATTCATGAGCATGTTCTTTTTCATAACATCCACATGACTATCGTAATAAATAATTAATGCTTCCGTAACCATCAAATATTAAGCTAACGATCCGTTAGAAAAAAGAAAACGTATGAAGAAACGCAAAACGTTCCATTTAATAATATGAAACGGTTTTGATGGTCTGAGTAATTGCCAACATTCTGTCGATAATGTTTGAGTCATTTGAAACATTTTACAGGAGATAATTATCTGTTATTAAAAATGAAAAGTGGTTTTTCTTTTTGCTTTCAAATAAAAACTAACTATACTTAATAGAAAAATGCAGTTGTACAAGCAAATTATACACAAGCTATTTATAAAGAACAAATGTAATAAATAAAGTCGTGTTTCATATTTTGTAACGATTATTTGAGCAAAAACAAAGTAATAATTATTTCTATAATTGTTGTTTACACATCCACATTTATAAAGAAGAATTTATTCGATTGCAATGAAATTAGCGAGTTATTTTGTAGACAATTTAAAAGATTTCTAAATAAAAATATTGTTTCTAATACCCTTAGAAGGGGAAAATAAGAGATTTAATTTGTATATGCAATGGTGTTTCTCAATATACTCGTTTAATTAATATGTTGGCTATAAATAGTTTTTTGTTTTACAAACAATTATTATTTAATATAGAAACGAATGCTGGGCAAAAAATATTAGCAAATGTGAAATACATTTATTTATTTGCAGATTGTTGTGTTATACACGGAAATAAACGTCAAAACAGTTAAGTCGGTTTCAATTTCCACGGGTCGTCGTTATACTCGAGTAAGTCTCATTTTTAATTGATAATATTTAGAATGTTGTATCTGTAGCATAAAGTTAAAAATAGCTGCTATGGTTAACCAAAAAAAATTCGTTACTGTTGATTAGACTGTTCCGATACTCTGAGTTTTTAAAAGTTTATTTTCCATTTTAAATTGGTACATAGTTTTCAACCGAATTTTTTCACGATTAAAATTTTCTTTGAAGTAGCTGTAATTTATACTAGTTTCGATTAGTTTGAAAGTTAATTCTTATCTTAATTATTACAAAATAGTTGACTATAATAGTTAACGAATTATAAAAATAATTATTATAATCGCCTCTTCCAAAAAATTAATCCGTCTGGACATTATTTATGTAACAAGCACACAAAAAAGTTGAATGAGTTATCTATGTCAGTGAAATATAATCTGGGAAATAATTGTAGTTTCCACAGATCCCATTTTAACAATGAATAGTTTTCAAACAAGTGTATTAAATACCCGAAATTATATGTTTTTAAGGGAATTAAGTTTTTTTAATTTAATTTTGTAATATTTTCCCCCGAAATTGTTTTTTTTTTAATAGTCGATGTATTAACCTACGATAATTGTGATAGAATTACAGCTCCTTTTTTTCCTATGGTTCAATTAAATTTTATCCGGTTCAGCGCTCCTACAGGTTACAAACAAAATGTCTATAACGGTATAAGAAGTAGACTGATTCATGTCACTGTGCAAAACATTACTTACAAAAAGTACCGATATTTTTTGGCATTTTATTGGTGACATTCGTATTATTTTGGCAGTCACCAACTACTAATCATTATTCAATACTCGTTATTGTTAGTTCACACTGAAATGTTTGCTATACCTCAACAATTTGTCAAATTGTACACGTACAAAAATTATCGGTATAGATAGTTTTTTATGGTGAATAATATACGAGTCTTTAAAGGAGAAAGCGTTTGGTTCATTGAACCTGGCGGAGACGTAGGTCCATAATAAAAATATTGTTATGTTGTAGCAATATTGTACAGATAGGTAACATTTTTTATAGTTGTGTAATTTTTTTTAATGGTCAAGCAGCGTTAACCAGTGTATTTTTAGTTATGCAATATTGTTGTTTACTCAGATTAATCGAACTCTGAACATGTATTAATTGGTACAATACGATTACAATTAATAGTATCTCGGGTAAATTAATGTTAATTAGTTGGAAAAACTTCAAATTTAAAAACTGATACTTTATTTTTTACAACGATTAACAATGATAAAAAGTTGCGAAAAATAAAATTATACTCTATGTTCAATATATAAACAGTAAACAATAGTTTACGTTAGGACGTGTGCAATTTATATATAAAGAAACTCATTAAAAATCAAACCGAAAAAAACCATTGTGTTACGATAAAATAATTGTTTTTTTTTTTGTAAAATTTGTTCATGGTTAACGCTCCCAATGATATTCTACACTATATAAAATAATCGGTAAAGAAAATATATTAACAAATGAACTTTTGCAAAAAAAAAAAAATAAAATACTACGAGTTAAAAACATGTTTTTTTAATTAATTTATTATTTTTTATTGTAATTCATTGATGTAAAATAGTAATATGAAAATAATATTAATTATCAAAGCGAAATAATGATGTGATACTAATATTGGTATATCTGAAGAATTTTAAATTCAGTTAAAATTAAAAATATATCTAAAATATTAATTACTAAACTAAGCAATAAAAAATATTTTTCATTTTAATAATTTTAGCCACAAATGATCAATTCTTATGATTTAAAACGAATTCATTGTCGATGTGTAAAATGTTAGCAGTAAATATATAAATTTACTCGAAAACCTTCGCATCATTGAAATAAATTCATTATTAATAAGAAACGAACTTGTTAGGCATAAACAACGTCAATTTAAAGCTTTTATTTTGTGACGAATTTAAATAATTTTATTTATTTAAATTATTTATTCAAGGTTATTCATTGCAAACGGTAATATTTTTTTAATTTAAATTTATTATATTGTAAATAAAATCGTAAATTCAATAAACAAATAATGAGGATTATAACCCTCACTTTATAATTAAATCAGTTATTTAAGATAATTTGATGTCTTAGAATCATTTAACATAATTTTCTAAACGGTGAAATAATTTTGAAAATTGTACGGTAATTTCACAACAAGTTTATAATGTTTTTATGATTTGTCCAAACATCTAATGTAATTTAATACTTGTCATAACTGTACTTTAATTTATAATTATGTTCAACAGACAAATCAATTAATACCGGCATGATTAAAGGTCAGCATAATCATGACTTGCTTGTAAAACAATTGTAAGTCATTAGTTGTCGAAAAATATTTCTATTGATGAAATGCCATATTCGAACAAATTAACTAACAAATAGATAATTAAAGTTAGTTATACGTATTTTAACAATTCGTTTTGTTTGCTGAAAATGTTTGAAAGCCTTTTAAAAAAAATATATTAGTCTTCAGTTTCTAACAGCTCTAAATTTTCTCTGTAAAAACAATACATTATTTATATCTAAAACGTTAAATTTAAGATTTTTTTTATTGCTTGACAAACTCGAGTAAAAATTTTTCGATAAAACTACAACATTATATAAATCTCTACTGATTTCTACTTTATCATTAATCATGACAAACAGATTGATACATTTTTGCATTTCACGAGAGTAGATTTATTAAAAATCAAATAGTTATACAGCTATTTATCGTGATTTTTTCAAATACAAATCATGCGTCTAAAACAAAACGATTCCTCGTGTTAAAAGTAAATTCTTACTTAAAAATGATTTAATAATCAATTTAACTAAAGTAATAAAAGAAAATGGCCACGGCTATACTGGTGTATTATCACTTTGAGAATTATCTCACAGATCAAAAGAGAAAAGTCAAATGTCAAATGTCGTTCCAACACAGCTGTGAAAATGAAAAGCGGCTAGATGAACAAACCGTTCACTGGGTCAGATCATAAAGAGAGAAAGCGTTGTGTTTGTAAGTGGATACAAAATGTATTATGTTATTGTATCACTAGTGAAACTGTTCGCTGGTGCATATGCAATTTGTGCACTTGAAACTGGAAAGTACTTATGTTTAAAGTGAATTAAAATGTACTCGCATGACATTTGGGAGAAGAAATTTGATTGTAATCGCAATCGCCCACTAAATGCGCTAGTTGTCAAAATGCACCGGATTGTCAGCCTGTAATGGATAAAAAATAGTTGTTATTTTCAGGTTTTTCCATAACGAGGCGGTAGAAACAGTCATATTATAGTGATAGTTGTTGACAGTAAGGTAAATAGGGAAAACAAACTTTCTCGCAATTTGTGTTTAATTACTCTCTTCGTAGGCAAATTTTCTCATCAACAAGCGGTTGCAAAAACAAAACAAAAGGACAAATGTCAAATACATTTTTTTTGTTTTACAAACGATTCTATGTAAGTTTAGCCAAACTACAATTGGAGTTTTGACGACGACAATTAGGTTAAACGCACTGTAATGGTGACGCAGACGAAACAGACAACAGCCACATTTACATTATTTTACCGGTTCACAGTACCTCTTTTGTTTGTCCACCCGGTGACTATTGTTAAAATTATCTAAATACACAAAAAATAACTATGCTAATGTAATGTGTACACATTGATAACTTCAGCCTGACTACAGTACAAGTCGACAACGTTAATTTTTAACGCATTAATTGTTCCCGTGTAGTTCATCTGGTCAAATAAACCTGTCATTGTAACCTTGTTGTGTTCAGATAGGCATGCGGAGACCGAAAAGCTTTTTAAAAAAAATAAAAGCGTTTCCCTCACACAGCCGCGTAAATTAACTTAAATTTTCAGTAAAACGCCATAAAATACAATGTGTCACAACTTCGAACAGAACAGACCCAAGGTAAATGAATAAACACGAATCTCGGAGAAAGGATATTTTACAAATACCTGGTCGTCCTCGACACACCACATCTTTTACATAGATAGGCACACGAGTACAATAATAATTTCAACGAACATAAACGAATGTGTGTCTGGTACTGTGCCCTCTAACACGACATTCGCACGAACCATTGTTTGTTTTTTTCTTTTATTTATCGTGTATTATTTTACTTTTTTTTTGTTTTAATATAACCATCATCATTATGCAAGAGCGTATATTACAATACATGTAATATTATACTGGTTGTTGTGAACTTTTCCTACAATACAGTTGTGTAATTGGTCTATGACTATTCGTCAATTTATTATCGAAACAACAAAATAAAATTATCAGATCTACAAATTAAAAATAAAAGTAGAAAATATGAAAGATCTACTTTATGGTTGAATACCTAAGCACAGCTTGTATATCAGTAAATTTCTCAGGTAAAATTCGGAGTTGATGTCGACAGACATTTGTCCGTTAAAAATACTGTTCAGTTACATTTGTGGAAAAAAAAATACCAAAATAAAATCGCTTTTGTTAATTAAATGTGACTTCTTTTACACCCACGAATTTAAAAAACAAAGTTGTGATAAACGATATTATTTCAATTCAAGTATTTTCTCATTAGCCAAAAAAATAAATTTATTATCACCTATATTTCAGGTAACATTATGACCAATTAGAAGTAAAAGTAAAACTATTGTTTATTATTTTGCTTTATTATTAAATAAATCATAACTATTGGTTAACAGTTATAAGTTATATTTTAATTTTCAGCATTTCATTTTTTTTTTTTGCAGTTTATTACGTGAAACACAAACCTAGAAAGGTTTAACAATAATAATATTTTGAATAGCTTTCTTTGAAGGAAATGGAGTATGACGATAGTGCGGGCTATCGTTTTTTTCTCTTATTTCAGCGTGTAATGTTTTTTTCTTAATATAATTCGATAATTAATTGATTGAATTTATTCAGTATGTCTATTTTGCGCCCGTTAACCGCATGTAATAGCATAGGCGTATTGAATAAGACTTTGAACAAAAGTATTACTAGTATGTTTTTCAAAAGATATAAACTCACCGGTGGAGGTTCAGAAACAAATACCTCGTGGGTTGGATATTCGCTCTTCATGCTGACACTATCATCGACAACTGAGCCGGCGGCTGCTGCTGCTGCCTCTTGTTGTTTATCCATAATTGGGCGACAACAGACAACAAAAAAATAGTTGGAGGATATTTGTACAGCTGTGAAACTGTTTTAGGTTGTCCGTCAGGTCTTAATAACAATAATATTCAAGTGCGACCGGACTAGGACTGAACATCAACCGAAGAAAAAGGCGAACCGGAGGACCGGCTTTCCACCACTGCTGGCGCCCACAGTCGTTTTGGAAGGGGCGCTTACCTCCCACGCTCGACGCACCAAATGTAATACAACTTTTCCATTTGCAACGTTTGCTCATTGTTGATTTTTGTTGTTATTCGTACTGTTAATATTGTTATTAACTCTGACCTTCAATTTTTTTATTTGTATCCTGCAATTATTCTTATAATTATTTTTTCTTTCGTAGTTCCATATGTGTTTTGTAAACAGCTAAAAATCACAAATCCTTTGAATTAGAAAATTCTACTTTTTAGTTCTATTGAAAAAATAATACTGTTTACTAACAACAAACGATAATTTTTTTTATGATAGAAATTTTACTTTAAAATTATTTCATAAATAAAAGATAATTATCTTTTTATAAAATATTTTCTCTAATGCTAAACATATTTAGAATAACTCCATTCATTTATGTTTTACTTAATAATGAAAAACTCCTTCTTCAAAAATTGATAGTTTTACAGTCTGTAAAATATTTCTCTTAACGTTTCCTAAACTAAATAAGAAACTATAATAATAATAATAAATATGAATTTTTGATTTATTATAAATTTGACCTCTAAAATTATAATAATATTTATCAAACTTCATGTATAGTATATTGTTATTTTATTTTATTAAATGATCATGGCAAATTTCTCAAAATGTTATAAAGAAAATCGTTACTGTAATGTTCATATTTATACATTTGTAATTAATAATTATAATAACAAATTCGTAAATATTTACCCTATAATATACAATTAGCAATAATTTTATTATATCCGTGATCATGTTGCTTCCAATGAGGATAAAGTTAACGAGGATTTATGAATTTTATTTATAAAAATAAAAATCATTAATTATCTACATTATATGCATACATTTTTCAAATTTTTATTTTTAAAAATAAGTTGTTTACTAAAAAAGAAATATATCTTATTAAATATTTTCAGAAATTTCAATATTTTATGTTGTCTATGTTTTTGCTTAAATTTAAATTATTTATATTATACTTAAGATGTTAAGAAAAGTGACAACTCGCTTTCTTTTTTATAAAAAAAATATTTAACTACCCCTGTGGAATTAATAATCATTTCAATTGATGAATATTTTTTATTATTTTCACTAGCAAAAAAACCTGGCTAAGCAGTAATTTGCTTAGATAGAAGGATGATTCCATTTTAAATGGCGTTTTCAAAAAGAATAACAATGAATATCGTATGAATTAAAATAATTTAATCTTACACTTCTAACAAATAAACAAACAAAAATTGTACGTATAGTAATTAAATAAGTATTCAAAGTTTATATTTAAAATGATTTTATAAGTTATATAAAATTTATTTTATTTTTATTCATTTATTGGTTTTAAGTATATTTTTTGTCTCTTTAAAATACCAGACGGGAATTGTCCATCATTAATGGGTTTAATTCTAGGAAATAAAGTATTTTCTTTATTAAATGATTAATAGTTTTAAATATTTAATGTTTTTTTTTTTATATTTTGGCACATTTAACCCAACCAAACCAAATTAGTAAAAATATTATGAACCATACGGTTATATTTTATGTGATCTTCTCCAGTAATTAATCAGTGAGAAAATCTATTGAAGGAATTCATTTCAAACTACCTATGCATTTCCATTGTATAAAAAATTCAAGGTTATTTTATAAGTACGTAGGTATTTTTAATTTAAGCTCATGGATCACGAATTCTTAGCTCTCTTGTACTTGAATAAAATATTGTATCCTTCATTGTTAGATAATATTTCTCATCATAAATTTTTCAACGAAAGATTTAATCAAATAATATGAACGAATTATTTTGTACGGTGAAAATGAGTTTTCTTGATGATTTATCTACGTTTTTGCATAGATAATTTTAGATCATTATACAAATAGTATTTAGTGTTATTAACAGTATATTTTATTGAAATTAGTGAAGCTAATATTTAATTAAGTGGGTTTTGCAAAATTGACTTTCTCCTCATAATCCTAAATTGCTATGAAAATAACTCTCACTATTTAAATCTAAATTGAGTATTGTTACTTTAACAAACTATGAATAATTAAAATGACGCCAATTTTTAGTTGTAATTAATACGAATTATTATAAAAATTTACTATAATTTATGATAATACCTTAAAATAAAAATAAAGTGAAATAGATACTGAATTATATATTTTAAATAGTATATAACTATAGTTGTATTAAAATATTAATTTAAATAGAGGAAAATAAATTTAACATTGGATTAAATTTTTTTTTTTATTCTGGGATGTAAACAAAAATAGTATTAACATAGATTATTCAATGTTTTCCTAAAGTTTTGCTCGTTCATTTTACTCATAAAATATATCTTCTTCTTTCTTTGTTCTTTTTTCTCACCTATATCCCAACTACTTGTGGTCGGCCAAATATAGTAAGTAAATTACTTTAATAGATTAATAAGTTTTTATTTCTCTATTAAAATAGACTTCTAACGTCAATAGTTTTCTTTAAAATCTCATTTATAGAAACTCATTATTATATCAAAACAAATTAAATTTTCTTATTTCTATAATTTCGAAAATAGTTTATTAACAATACTTTTTTATTTTTAAACGTTTTGGCAAGTACACTTTTATTATTTTAAACAAAGACTTATTTATTGTTCTTGTTAAAATAAATATCGCAATATTAATTCAAGTAAATGGTGAACAATTCACAACTTATTCTCTTTCTTATGTACAAATAGTTATGATTAATTTTATGCATATACGAGCATCTTTTATGAACTATATTGCCCATTAAGTGTACGTATATTATACTGTTGTAGTTTGATATATACCGCAATTTTTAATGTTAAAAGTGAAGCACAGTCTCAAAATTTTAGCTTTAATGCGAAGCTGAAAAAGTATTAATTTTGCAATGTGTTTTTTTTTTAAATGTTTGTCACTAATTTTTCTCAGCTCTCATCGGATCGATTTAATTCAACGGTACGTTAAAGGATTACAAATAATATCTTGTTAAACAAATTATCCTTGAAAATTGAAAAAAATTCACTCATTTCCTGTACATGGGTGAAATTCCCAAAAATTTCGATTTTTTTTTTCTTAAAACTGTCATAACTTTTTGAAAATAAACGGAAAAAAATAATTTTTTTTATATATAATTACCTATGCTACTTGGCTTCTATTTGGTTTCTACATTTTTTAAAAATCTGACCCTTGCATATGGGGTGGTTCAAAATAGCAGATTTTGCTCAAAAACTTAACCTTTTCAACTTAAGTTTTGAAAATGTTCCGGAAATACTCCAAGATTCAAACATATGTTAAAAAAAAGTTTATGTTACATACAATATGTTCAAAAAAATATTTTTTTCCGACACCTTATTTTCTATGGGCAAATGGATGCAGAAATTGAAAAATAAATTTTTATGTAAAAATCAACTTTTTTTTTATGTAATTACCTTAGGTATTTCTCTTTTATTTGATATACTTTTTTTTTTTAATATTACTTTTTACTTGACCACAGAGGGGGATTCAAAATAGTGATATTTGCAAAAAAAGTTAACTTTTTCTATGTTCTGGAAAACTTGATATTTCTCTATATTTATATCTTAAATTAAAGCTTATATAATCTACTTTATTTAGAAAAAAACTTTGTTCTCAGGACTTGTCTTAGTGCTATAAACGTTTACCATATTTAAAAATATCCTATTTTTGTGTAATATCCTCTATTTTACACTTATGTTAAAGTAAACATTTCAACTTTTATTACAATTTTTAACAAAGATACGATTATTAAAATATATTATCATTATCATCTTCTTAGCCTCTATTTTAAATATATGAGGTCAGCTCTAACATTTTGATTTGACAAAATTTTTACTCAGGCTGTTGACCGGACATAATCTCATTATAGCTAAGGGAACCAGTTAGGAGGCAAAGTGTGTGGTGTTAATGGTAAAGTACCTGATAGTCAACCAACAGTAATTAGCGCAGCTGAATATAAGCGTCAAGGCGGCGACTAAATGATCCACTGCACCACAGTTAAAAATATAATAATGTATTTAATTGTTTTCCAGGAAGACAATAGTAAAAATTCTAATTTCACTTTTCACTATTAATATTACTCTACTATAATTGAAGATAGTGTAAGTTCAACATATAATCTTTTATGAAAATCTCAACTCAATAATTATATTAATTAAATATTTTTAATTAAGATTACTAACCGAATTAGCAAATTTACCAATGAGTAAATGAATTACAAATGCTAGTTATTTCAAAGCAATTACTTTAATTATAAGGAAATTTAAAACGTATTTTTTGGTATTCGAACAAAATAATTATTCCCAAGATACAATCAACACTAAGGTCGCAGTATAGTTTGTAAATATTAATACAACACAATTATTTTTCAGTATAAAATTATTTTATCTGAGAAAGAAAAGGTGAACCAAAATAAAAATAAAATGGGTTAAAAAATCAAAATGTACAAATAACAAAAAAATACATCCAATTTCTACATTATTTCAAAAAATTTGTGGACTTTTTTAATAATGGTCAGTTTTAAACAAGATTTATTAATGTTATTTTTAAAAAATATTTTTCATTTTTCTACTGAAACTCATTTGCTGTGGTACCTAATTATTATTCATTCATTTTTTTTTTGTAATTGACAAAATATGTTAACTATAAAATCACATTAAATAAAATTGAACAATTATTTTTCCTATGAAACTTAATTTATAATAGCAAAACAACATAAATTAGTAAATAATATAATACTATTTTTTGGACCTTTAAAATAATAAAGATGAGCTTTTCCATAGGGTAAGACAACAAAAAGATTATGAAATATAATAAAATTTAATATTTTCCAATTTATATTGTAGGGATCTCTCTTTTTATGATATACACTTCCAGGTAGGGCAAGTGGGCACCCACACTTCTTAAGCTATCATTACTATCTAAAAAAAGTCATTTAAATGATAAAATTGGCATATTTTTATTTATATTAATTTTTATATTTCATAGTAATTTGTTGTCATGAACGTAAAAATTAACAAAATGAATGGCGCTTAGCATAATAATTATAACTTCGTTTATTACACGCTCAACTAAATAGAAATAGAACCACGGTTTGGAATATATTCATTTTTTTAAAGTAAACTTATGAGTACATTCAATTTTTAAAGTATGAATTAACTAGTTTTTATAAAAATGCAAATGGCAAATTGGATGTAAAAATACATTCATCAACTATTCAAATAAAAGAAAAAAAATAGTTTAAATAAAATAAAAATGACTAATTATTCTGTTCCAAAGAATACTTTCTCATTGCTATGATATTTTTATTGTATATTTTTGCATCCAGTGCACTATCGTAAACTAAAACTACATATTTTGTATCAGTATAAAATTAGTCAAGTATATTAGATTAATTGCGTGATCAATTTTATATAAAAATAATAAATTATAACGGATTAAATTTCCATAAATTTTATTGGTAGATCTTTCTGGTCAAAATTATCTTATTATACAATAAAACAATGAAAAATTACTTAACGGCGTACGATTTTAAAACTTTTTTTTTTTAAGAAATGAGCTCGACAACGTTATTCTAGGAAAATTATTTGCGAATTTGAGAAAAAAATGTTGGCACACAGTGAGCGTTTAAAAATTTTATCAAAGACACTTGGTTTATTGATTATTTATTATTAACATAAGAATGTTTGATTTATTTAGTTTTTATGTATTATTATAGTGGCTGTGATTTATTTAACCCAGATATTGTTAAAATGGCACAAGGCAACTTTACTTTGTTTTAATTTCGTTATCTATTGATAAAAAGACTGTTTAATTTATTAAATTTTTATGTATTACATGTGTGATTGACTTAACCTTATGTATTCTTTTAATAGACTAAATTTAAGATCTTCCTATCATAAACGTTCTTGTGGAGATGATATGGGGAATAGAACTCACTCGTGGTACGAATAAATATATGATTAAGTTGCGTTTTTTTGAGGGGAGGTAGAAAAAAATATAATATGAATTTCTCTTCCCAAGAAAAAATTTGTGAATGACACTGCTTTCTAAATTAAAATATTTATTGTTATTCATTAATAATAATTATTTATTTCGTTTTATTTACTAATTTTTATACCTCGTACGTTATACAATGTACAAGTATTAATAAATTAAATTTTTATCATTCAAATTTTCATTACCGACATATAGGATACTGAGATTATTAATTAACATTAAAAGAATTATATTTTTATGACTTCTTTTGTTTATAATTTCAAAATTTTGTATTTTAATCTGTTTTACAGATCTAATAATAGAGGTTAAAATTTAATGAGGAGGGGGCACATTCATTAAGTGTTTTATAAAACAATTCAAATGAATGTGAACTTTAATGCATTCATTTTTAGTGAATGTGAATAAGAATACATTATTTTTGGAAGAATTAATTTTTTAATGAATAAAAATCGAAATCCATTCGTTTTCTAGATTAATGTTCCAAGCCTTAAATGAAATCCTACGTTAAATTTTGGCGTTTACGGCGCTCTTTTTTATACTTGATAAATTAACTTCGTTTACACCAGTGTTGTTTAATCATTGATAACACATTGTTGACATGTATAACAACTGCAATTACAATTAAAGACGGAACATATTAAATATAGGTTGTTAATTATGAAATTTGAATTATTGCAGTATAATTTTCCTAGATATTATACAACTATGCATTATTTTTCATCACTAATTTCAAATTATTTTATCTCGTGGGAGAATTACAAAAAATTATAAATCTATTTATACACACGTAATGTTTATGTATAAATACGTAACTATGAGAAGTTTATATATTCATATTAAATGTACTATCCAACAAGTCCAATCCAACTTTTTAGGGTTTTCTTAATTATAAAAAAATAGCTGCTTCAGAAAGTTTTAATTAACAAAATTTTAATTTAAATGAATTCAAACACAAAATGAAGCGTATTTCAAACACTAACGAATATTTTTACGTGATTTTGACATAGATGTCGCTTAATGTAATTTTTGTCCCCTCTTTTCTTCCTAAAGTTTTTAGCTTCGATGCGAAGCTGAGAAGGTATTAGTTTTACTTTGATGTGTTTTTTTTTTTGGCTGTTATCACTTTTTCTCAGCTCTCACCGAACTGATTTCTTTCAACGATACGTCAAAAGATCACAAATCGTATCTAGTCGAAGACATTATCCTCAAAAATTGAAAAAATTTCCCTCGTTCCCCGTAAATGGGGGAAACCTCCAAAAAAATTACAAATTAAAAAATTGCTAATTTTCGAAATTTTTTCAATTTTTTTTATTTGGTATACTATTATTATAAATCTGACCCTTTACATGACTATAGGGGAATTCAAAATGATAACTTTTTCACAAAAAATTTATTTTTTTAACTTAACTTTTGAATTCCAGATAGTCAGACACTTCTATATATAAGTAAAATTAAAACTATATTAAAAATATTATTAATTTAAAAAAACTAAAAAATATTAAAAATATTAAACCAAAAGCCACAAAAAAATTAATGAAAAGTCGCGGATACGTATTTCGGAAACAATGTTACCATTATCAACGCTAAACACATACTAAAGTTAATGTAATATACTTTATTATGGAAAAAAAAAATTTCGGACTTTACATTGTCTTCACGGTGAAAATAGCTACCGTATGCTATTTTTGTGTTAAAATTCTCGATTTTATATTTTACATTTTTAATTTTAAAATGTTATAACTTTTTGAAAAATTTATGGATCAATACAATTTTTTTATAAAAATAATATTTATATTCTTCTTTCATTCGACATACTTTTTTTTTAAATCGGACCATTTCCCTTAATATAGGGGGGGTTCAAACATAAAAATGCATAGAGAAAGTAAAACTTTTTCAACTTCATTTTTGAAAGTGTTCCGGAAATACTAATACTTTTATATATATCTTAAATTAAAGCTTATGTAATATAATTTAATATTATAAAAAAAAAATTGGACTTTATTTTGTCTTCACGGTGAAAATGGCTATCAAATGCTATTTTTGTGTGAAAATTCTCGATTTTATTTTTTTAATTTTTAACTTTGTAATGCTATAATTTTTTTGAAAAGTGTATGGATCAACACAATTTTTTTATGAGAAATAATATTTTTTAATAATTCCATTTTTCATTCGACATACTTTATCTTAATCAGGATATTTATAAGAAACTAGCAGATCATGTAACTTTTGGAATAATCCACCAATTTTTTAAAATTAAACACTATCTAAAAATTTGCATCGAAGTATTTTTTTTTTATAGTGATGTTAATCACCGTAAGATATCATTATACTTGATCCAACTGCCACGTCACCACTGTGCCACGACCCCCCTGTGATGGGTTTTTTTTTTGCTCTTATTTACTGTTCGCAAAATTTTTTTAATTTTTCTGGGAGACTAATAGAGTTTTTGTTTTATGTTTAACCAGTATTGAGTTCTAAACTTAAAAAAATAAGCTCCAAAAATTTGTTTGCAAACCAAATAATTATTTACTGCACATTTACAGGCTTACATACCATAACGAGCTGTAATCACCCGCACTACATACATATTCAATATATTAAAATTCTCGTAACTCAATAAGTACTAAAACTATAATAGTATCAACCTATAATGATTTTTTGTAAAAGAGAAATAAAAATAGCTATTTTAAAATTTTACACAAATTAAAAAATGCCATTTATATAATTGATTCTCTATTTACTCTTGTAAATTAACGAGTAAATTAATAGCACTAATTAGTGTTATTTAAATAGCAACAAATGATTTTTTCCTAGAAACTAAAAAAATATTTTTTGATTTTAATGTTTACATAATAAAAGCGTTATCTAGTATTTTGTATTGTCTTTCAGAAGTTCAGATATCGCAGATAAATATTTGTACCTGCCATATGTTTAAATGATAACATTTTGAAAATTTTGAAATGAAAGTATTCGATACTTGTTTTTATATAACATATAAATGATCAAATTACTATTACGTACAAGTAGAACAAATCAAAATAAATCTAGCCGACTTACGTTTCAACTGTCAAGTTGTTATAATCTGTAAGTTTTTTTTTACACAGAATTTTAAATAGATTTATTTAAATATTTAAATTTGAGATACACGTGTCCTTTTTCCAAATATTTTTTTGTCATTTATTATAATAGTTTATTTGTATAATTGTTGTGTATTATAAAATCGAGTCGCTTTTTGTATATGATTGTACGTCATATATTCTATTTATTTTGTAGAAATATTTTGATCCTGTCAAAAGCTATCAGTATGAATATTCTATTACCACCAGAAGGTGTACGAGGTATGAAAGTATTTGATATAGAAAAATTTTCAAAAAAAATCAGTGTACCTACTGTAGAAATTGATAAAGAAAATGTTGTTATTGCCAATGAAATTTTAAAAGATAAGCTGATAAAATTAAGCAATTTTAAACCAATTCGAAATTGTGATTATGACAATAACAAGCGTGTATTTATTCTTGATCCATCAAAAGTATCCTCATTTCATGATCTGAATTTAAATTTCACTGAAAACTTCAAATACATTGATTTACTTTTGGGTTATGAAAATTGGAAACATGAAGATATTATTAGGTCTGTTCTTCCAGAAGATTTAATGTTGTCTAGTTATTCATCTATCGGTTCAATTGTTCATGTAAATCTGAAAGCTGAATTATTAGAATATAAATATATTATTGGTCAAGTTCTAAAAGATAAAATTAAAGGTTGTAGTTCTGTGGTCAATAAAATTGATAATATTAAAAATGTATATAGAAATTTTGAATTTGAAGTTCTATGTGGTTCCAGCGACCTAAAAACATCAGTTAAAGAAAACAAATGTTGTTTTGACTTAGATTTTTCAGAAGTTTATTGGAATCCCAGATTATGTACTGAACATGAAAGAATTTTAAAAAAACTGAATAGTGGAGATATTTTATATGATGTGTTTGCTGGAATCGGACCATTTTCAATTCCTGCTGCAAAAATGGGATGTGTTGTGTTGGCTAATGATTTAAATCCTAATTGTTGTAAATGGTTAAATATTAATAAAAAGAAAAACCATATTAAAGACAATCTTTTAACAATTTTTAATAAAGATGGGGCTTGTTTTATAAAAGATGATTTAAAAGCACATTTAATATCTTATTCAGAAAAATTAACACATAATAGCAATATTAAAATTCATGTAACTATGAATCTACCAGCCATTGGTATTGAATTTGTAAAATGTTTTCATCAACTTTTTGAATGGGAAGAAATATCTGATTATAGTTTACCTATTCTACATATTTACACATTTGTAAAAACTGATATAAGTTATGAAAATGGTTTAAAATTGATATTGGTTGAAAACGATTTAAAGAATTGTGATATTCAAGAAATATTTAGAGTTAGAAATGTTGCACCTAATAAAGAAATGATTAGAATTACATTATTAACAAAAAAAGATATGATATGCAAAACAAATAACATTAAGAGAAAAATAATTTACACAGAAGAGAATAAAAAAACAAAATTTGTATAGTTATGAACCTAAATAAAAAATAAAGTTTTAACAAATAATTTATTGGTTTTTTTATGTGAGCATTTTTCTATGTATTGGTAAACATCCTCTATTGAATAAATAATTAATAGATGTAAGCTTTTAGTTTCTAAAATATTGATTTAAAATTTTGGTAGTTTTCTCCTTACGAAAAATTAGTTTTATTTTACACTATTTATACCTACTTAAAATATTTTTGACAAATTATTTCCTAGTGCTTAATACATTTATATTAGTTTTTATATAACAAAAAAAAGGGGGTTGAAGCTCTATACAATTTCAAGAGGTAAATTAACACATCCATTAAAAATACAAATAACTAATAACTCGTATAATATTTTTATCTTAAGTTCAATTGAAAAACGATTATTTAAAAATATTATTTCTAATTACTTAAAAGAAAATGTAATATAGTAATTAACTTAAAATAATGATTTCTATATTTAGCAAAAATGCAAAGAATTTATTTTTATTTAAATATTTAAGTTAGATGATTTATTCTTTATGTTTATTTTATGCAAATACAATTACTAATAGCTATAATATTAAGTCAAATTAATTTATGTACATTTCATATGTTATAGAAATTAAACAGGTCTAAGTTATCATTTATTTTAACAAGATTTAATTAATTATTTTCAAAAAATAAAAAATTTATTTTTAATTAATTAATTTATAGAAAATCAAATAAATGAAGTGGACAATTTAAAATCAACTTAATCAAATTAAGTATAAATGAAGAATCATTTATTAAATATTATGGAGAAAAAACATTGTTCAATGATTCCTTATGCATTTAAACGTGTGTTCTATTTTAAATCCGATTTTAAAGAATTAGTCAATAATGTATTTAAAGAAGCATCGCATAAAGTTTTGACTTCAGAGAAAAGTGGTGATATTAAATATACTATCTATTCAAATTATGTAGTCATACATTGTAACAGTGAAGATTTAATTAAAAAAATGGAGTTCATTGTTATAATAAAATTACCAAAAGATGTATTAATATTTTCTCATTTAACAAATCACCCTGTTAAGTTTGATGAAATACAAAAGTTTCAAATTTATACAAATTTACCTCTTGGACAATATATTTCTCAAACATACATGGTAAGATTTGCTTTAATAATGATTATTCTAAATTCAAATCAATTTTTAATTTTCAGATAATAAAGGAATCATTTGAAAAATATACGTTGAAAACTATGTTCTTGAGTTTCAATGGAGGAAAAGATTGTGTTGTATTGCTTCACTTATTATTAACTTTAGTCAATGAATTAAAAATAAGTGATCCAATAAAAACAGTATATTTTCAATCTAATGACCAGTTTTTAGAAGAAGAGGAATATGTTCACTACATTGCTAAGAAGTATATACATTAAAATTATTTTGAATAAAATTTAATTTAATAACTATTTTATAAAACATTACCCATTTTATACTACATGTATGTATCATTTTATATACACATTTAAATATAACTATATTTAATTTAAAGTATTTACTCTCTTAATATAATAATCTAACAGGTATAACTTAGATTTAGAAATAATTAATGGAGACCTAAAACATGGTTTAGAAAGTTTCCTTGAGAGAAACACTGCTTTCTGTGCATCATTAATTGGCACTAGACAATCAGATACTGGTTCTACAAAACTTAAATATTTTCAAGTAAAATTTTATATTTATTTAAATAAATAGTACATCAATAGTTTTAAAATATTTTAAATTTTAGAAAACTGATCCAGAGTGGCCTCAATTAATGCGAATTCACCCAATAATGAATTGGAATTATGATACAGTTTGGTCCTTTTTAAGACAGTTTTCTATTCCATATTGCTGTTTGTATGATAAAGGGTAAATAAAATAATAGAGTAAATTTATTATTTTACTAATACTTTTCTTTATTAGGTATACTTCTCTTGGAAATAAGTCAAAGAGTAAACCCAATCCACATTTAAAGTACATAGATGAAAAAACTGGAGAAGTACAATATTTACCAGCATTTTTGCTTCAAAATAGTGATACTGAAAGGCATTCTAGAATATAATACTACATGAATATACAAATCACAAATTTATTATTAGTTAATGTATTAAAATATATTATTTACAAGGAAATTATACTTAAAATTTAAGTGGTGAAGGTTATATTAACTAATGTTAATTACATAAGTTATATTATAAAATATAGTTTAACGTTTTTTTTAATGGCATTTTATAGTTAATGTGCTACGTACACCTATTTGCCACACTGAACCAATATCATCAATTAATGCTGCTTCAATATGCACCTGGTGCTGGCTCCCTTGGTTAAAACTTAAACAAAATTCTGATGAAAAAAAATCTTTATGTGGTTTTACGGTTTGAGTTAACATTAAATTCCCTTCTACTTGTCGTGTTTCATGATTTCTTGTTACCAATTGAGACATAACAGTTAATTGTATACCATCAACTTTACGAAATTTCGTTTTTGTACCATGTTGCACAACACCTTCTACTTTAACTACAAAATTACTACCTATATTTACTGTAATTGGTTCTCCATTAACTCTTGGCTGAGGAGATACAGCAAGAGTTATGGTAGTTGACTGTAAAGTTTGAAAAAAGTATCGAGGAAAACACATTGGCATAGATACTACAAGAGATGCTTGCTTTTTAAGAGATTGGATATGTTGATGAGTAATAACTTTTGGTTTAGCAGTACTCATTATTTCTAATAGTTCTTGTCTACATTTTATAATTAGTTGGATTTCCAATGATCCTTCTTTTTCCAGTTCAGAATCTAAAACTGGACACTCACACTTACTGGAAACAGCAACAGATTCAACATTATATGCAACTAATAAACATAAATGTTGTAAAAGCTGTAAATGGTACAGAGTATTAGGATCTGCATCAAAAGCAGATTGGTATAGACGCCAATATAAATCTGCACACCCTTTAAACTCTTTAGCTCTTTTCCTCAATTGATTTGTTATGTGACCATAACTTTGCATTTCGTCCCTTGTTGCAAGTACAATAGCAGAAGCTATTGCTGGAGGTGGAGTTGTACAAAAACTATTGCATGTTGACAGTAACCGCATGAAACATTGGAGTAACTCACATCGTAAACGAGTATACTCTGTTTGAAAAATCAACATTAAAGATGCAGCTTTCAATGCAGCTATTGCTCTATAATATGTAGAAATTGATTTACCTACATTAGCTAGTAACTTAGAAGAGTTGGAACATTGTAGTTGAGATTCTGCAACACTTATAGTCTCTAAAGCTGCTAACCAAAAATGCATTTGTTCAGAACTAACTCTATTGTTCAGGCTTTCAAATATTCGGGAACTAATACTAAAATGACCATACCTAAAAGCTGCACGTCCAATTCTATAATTAGACCACAAGTCTGTATTTTTTATTACTTCATTTATAACATTTTTTACATTATCATGTTCATTATAACCAGCAGTAGCTTGAAATATCACTGTACACAACATAATTTTTGTTGAAATAAAACCATCATTATTATTCTTTATTATATCTCTTAATTTTTTAATAAAAAGTGGTAAAAATGGTTGTAAAGTACCAGGTAAAATACCACCAAATGCAGCAATAGCTTCACAAACTAATGGATTTAATTCAGATTTATCTAGATGAAGTGGCTTAATAACAAGAGTTGTAAACTTTTTAATTAAATTTTTGTTGGCCTTGCACATTATTACAGATGACCGTAAAGCATCACGTAGGTAAACTAATGATTTCTCATTAGAAATAGAAGTATTATCATCAATATCCATTGGTTCAGAACTATCAGATTTTAAAATATTTTCTATAAGAAAAAGATCTTCAGAATTAAAATCTTTTAAATCTTCATCCATTCCTTTGTTGGATGATAAAATTGTAAGAAGATAATTTTCAATACAGACCTGTAATATACTAGCATCTTTATCAGATAAGGTTTCCTCTTCATAACAGTAACAAGCTATATTTGTTAATACTTTTATGGAATTACCAGCAACTGATTGATGCGATGAACTTGATTCTGAAATACACATCTTCATGAGTGGACTTTTAGTATTATGATGAAATTGACATACTACAGGAGATTTAGTTAATGGAACAAATATATTAATGGCATCAGCTTTTAAAGTATTATCAATACATGAATTCTCACAAAAAGATACTAATTTGTTAACTGCTTCTTCAGACCAAAAATGAGCACCTTCTTTAGCTATTTGATGTAAGCAAGATATAGCACATTTACATACTAAAAAACGCTTGTCCTGACTTAAATACTTCAATAATAGTTCTATCTGCTTTGGCACATCTACTAAAATTGATAAAGCTAATTGATTTAGAGTCTTCAATGTTACAAGAACAAAATCTTGAGCTGGATATTTTTCTAATAAATCAGTACACAATATTCTAACCATAGTAGCAGTAGCTGTGTCATGGTGCATGTGTTTTAAAATTGGTATCAACTCTAGTTTCATAACAACATCGGTAGATATACCACGGATCATATTAGAAATTTTACTACACATACTAACAGCAAAGGATTTAGATTGGGATGCAAATTGAGCAGCAGCATAAATAGCCGATTCTACTTCAACTGCATTATGAGAATCCAAACTAGTTCGTATGCTGTGATGAACTTGACCTCTTTCAGGAATAATACGTGCAACACTACCTAGAGTACGTAATGTAAGTCCTCTAGCTACTGGATCATTAGAATGCATCACACTATAAATTCTACGGACAAATTCATCAATATTTAATATTTTATCAATATGCTTTTCAGTCTGCTGACATACTCGTAAAACCCATAATCTCAAAAAATTTGTACCTAATCGAAAAACATCTGCCAATTTTAAAAATGAAGAGTTTATTAAAATGGGAAATGGATATTTTTCTATTAATCTAGGAAAACGTACAATAGCTTCGCATTGTTCTCCAACACGATTGGAACGAAGACCTTTATCTAATTCTATAAGAGCAGAGTTAGCATCTTGATCAGATTCTCCTAGTAATGTTTCGGATATTCCACTTCTAAATGCTGGCATTTTGTAATTTACCCAAAAAATGTTAATACCAACTTAAAAACTTTAAAAACATTAAATAATTTAAGATAGTTAGTGATTAACATAAGTTACACTGAAACATTAACTTTCTTTGAAATTTACAACTTGTAACCAATAATGTTATCAGCAATAGTGAATGAACACATTATCATCATTCATATTTAAATTTACTAAAATTTGAGGTTAAAATGATTCTTCTATATCAGTCACCAATGCCTATTATCGTGCCTTAAAAAAAAAAATATTTTCAAACTCAAAATGTGAATGAGGTGAGAAAGATAGAGTTAATCGGTTGAATCACAAAGATTTGATTCTTGTGAATCATTAAATAATTAGGTTAGACAATGCCTGTGTTATAAGAGTATGATCGGAGCTCTTACTGAATATCTGGAGCCAGAGGTGTTGTGGAGCGTATACGCGGGTATACGGCGTATACCCACTTCTTTGTTTTTCTGTTATTGCGTATACTTATAAAATCATGAGTGATACGCGGGTATACGGCGTATATCCACTATTAGTTTTTTTATTAGTGCATATACGTATTTATAAAATAGTTAAAGAGTATAGACTAAAGAATAAAATAAAAAGTAATACGTGGGTATCGAATATAGGTACGTTTGTCATAAAACACAAATTTTGAATAACTATTATCAGTTTGTTTAATCGCTACAGTCATACCACATATAAACATATACCTGAAGTTATAAACATACAAATATGGCTCGAGACTATTATCATTTTAAAAATAGAATATAAATGTAAAACAAAAATAAATAAATAGGATAATGTTTATCATTTCACGACAATTTTATTGATAAAATTTAAAACATCGATCAGAAATTAACGATATAGCACATACTAAGTTGAAACTGAAATTTATTGGGTTAACCTATAGCTGTTGAAATTGGTAATTTGTATTTTTCCGTAATAAACCGTTTACCAACCAATCTAGTATTTAATATATTACCTATAATGAATTAAGATAGTACTAACATGTACCTATTCACGTTTATTTCATTTATGATTTAACGATTTGAAAACAATAATTGTAAGATTATTTTATTACTGCATAAAGTTTATTGTTTATTTATAAAAAATATAACAGTATCTAATAATACACATATCGATTATATGACTATGAAATTTAATTTATGTAAGAACTTAGAAGTGTCAGTAAAAATATTCGAGTAATAGTTTGGAAGGAGCTAGGCCGTATCTGGGAGGGTTAAGAGTTTTAGTTGCATTATGTAATAATTAGAAAATACATATTTTTAACACAGTTAAAACATCACAATATTTGTATTCCGTCTCCCAAAACTATGTTATAGTTAAGGCCTTTGAAAAGTAGTGTGGGGGTGAAATTCCCCACGTTTCCTCATTTAGGTTTTTAACTTATCTATTGATCAAATTACGACTATATCACTGTTGATAATGTGAAATATTGTATGTAGAAAATGTAAAGTGCAATGGGGGGTGTGGGGGGCGGAGCCCCCCACGTTATTCTCTATTCATTATATAGGCGTATACCCATAAACATTTTTAGGACTACACCACTGTCTGGAGCTTTATCGGAGGTCTGGCATTAAAATTTATCATTGACAGTTGGTTTTTGATTCTGCGTTTTTCGGGCGTTATTTGCAGTGCATTGTTAAATTGTATAATTATATGTTATATTAAGTATTTTTTAGAGCGGGTAGGAAATACAATTAGCACCCTCAAACATTTTATTCTGTTGCGTCTATAGTATTATATTATAATTATTTACTATTATATAAACGAAAATATTAAGAATGATTGGAAAAAAACGAATGTGATTGAAACATTAAGTTAAAATACTTAATTCTTTTAATTGTAATTTGCAATTGCAACTTGATTTGTATATTTAAAACTTAAATAAAATAATATTATTTCTGATTTTGGGAATATCCTGAGGAATTTTTTCAGTTTTTTTTGGAAATTGGATATTACTAGTCATCACCAACTCCCATAACAAATTTTTTTTTATTGGTACTACGCTGCTCGCTTCTTTAAGGCAAATTTTATGTAAAGGACAAGCATAGAATCTTTGATGTTTTTGATACACCATTGAATCCATATTCCTAGTGAAAAGCTATACTTTTATTTAATTTCGAGATATTTATTATAACTTATTTCGAGCTCTCAATTTTGTAATTTTCCCGCCATTGCACAATAGTGTTTTAATACTATCAATGCTTATCAGCTATAGAAATATGTTGTAGCTTTTGTTCATTATTATTTGATAAATCTTCCACCGTTAAGTAGTTGAATTAATTTTCTTTTTATTTAATTACACTACGATGTTATTTTCATATTCTTGATTTTTATTCTTTGTCCATATTTGAAATTTATGATAAGCTGCTTTAAATAATTTATCAATATTTCTTAAACGGTGAAATTAATATTGCCATTCGTTCTTGCTTCTTACTATCTTACCATAACAAGAATATGATGCTGTATAGAAAATATTTGTATAAACCACTTCGTATTCGTGTGCGATTTTTACATTCTGAAGTTTTTAAAAATATTCCTAAGAAAAAAATTTCTTCTGCGCCTATTTTTAGGTAATTAATTTTCATTAATAATTTTGAGTGTAATCCTTTAACACATTTATACAATAAAATTAGTGTTAAAAAATGTTATCTTTGCTGTTGTATTAATATGTAGTTTTTATTATCAAATAGGTGTATTTTTATTTCATTTTTTGTTAATTGTAGTATAAAAAACCTATGTGTATTTAAAAAATTTTAGAAAATTTTAATATTGATATAAATAAATAACTTGATATTGAGTAAATAGTTTGATAATTTTTAGAACATTGTAAAATATTTTCTTTTTATATATTTTTCATCTATTATAATTGACTGCTTATAAATTAAATGTAAATAAGTTAATTTTTTATTTTTGCAAATTTATTTTACTGTATATGATCATTGAAATTAATAAATTAATATATTATTCATGAAAAAAGTTATTATTTACTGAATTACTAAATAAAAACTTGGTTCTTTTATTTTCATGTTTTAATTATTAAATGTTTGTCGTTGTTAAATAATTACAGTATACACAACATATATTAAATTATATACAAAGCTTTTTTTGAACTTAATTATTGATTACAAATAAAATTTTACTTTAGAAAAAAAATCTATTTACTTATTAATGTAATGCAATTAAATACAGTGGTTACTAATTTATGTAAGTTACACATTATTAATTTATAAAAGAAATGTTTGAGTTTTTTTTTAATGTTATGTAACGAAAGGTGATGCATAATTTTTTATGAATGTAAATATAAAATGAGAATTCATTAAAATATATGTATGCTATCAGTTAAATCATAAATAATTCATAAAAAAATATTTCATATACTATGGTAAAATTGATATATTACCTTAGAAACACTTGATCAATATTCAGATTAAAAATTATATTTTTAAATTTTATAAAATGAAACTTCCTATTTTCAGGTTAATAATAAATTTTACATCATTTTTTAACTTTTAATGCTATAAATTACATATTATTAATTATTTCTCTCAAATTTTTATGACCCAGTTTAGCCAAACAATGGCCTAACAAAATAGCAATTGTAGATAAATTTGGAGAACATACATATTCATCCATTTACAACAGTAGTGTTACTTTGTCAAAAGTGTTAGAAAATTATTTGCATGGAGAAACACAAGAATGTGTTGCTTTGTTTTGTCCTAATGATGCTTCTTATGTTGTTGCTCAATGGGCTTCATGGATGAGTGGTCAAATAGGTATTAATTTTTTTAATTTTAGATTTGATTTGCTGAATCTCATTTTTAACATTTTCTCTATAGTTGTTCCTTTAAGTCCATTTCATCCAGAATCTATGCTTGAATATTTTTTGAATGATAGTGGGGCTAAAGTTATATTGACTACTGCAGAACTTGAAAAAAGTATCCAACCCTTAGTTAAAAAACTCAAACAAAAACATTTTGTGTTAGAAGATTATGTTACTTTAAATTATAAACCACTTGGGAAAACTTCTTTTGAAAAAAACAACGAAGTTGAATTGTTTGAGCAAAATAATATTATAAATGATAATCAATTTTTTGATTCAGATGCTGTTATAATTTACACATCTGGTTCAACAGGCCCACCTAAAGGTTATATATATTTTTATAATAAAGTAATAAAAAAATCATCATAGGTAATGTTTCAGGTGTATTATTAAGTCATAGGAACTTAAATTCTCAGATTAACAGCTTAACATCATCATGGGGTTGGACTAATAAGGATGTTATTTTACATGCTCTACCATTGTATCATATTCATGGAATTGTAAATGTTTTAATGTGTTCTCTTTATTCTGGTGCCAAGTAAATATGGATTATGTTTGTTATCTTCTTTTTATCATTAGTGGAAAATTTATAATTATTTATTTATATTGATATTTCATTATCGTCAATTAATTAGCTTATGAAATATTTAGTTGTTAGGAGTTGACAATGGTAGTTGTTAATGGGTCTATTAGTGGTTTGTTTCTTTTGGAACATGATTTTTTTATCATTAACAACTCCCAAATTTTCAATCTATGAAATTTAATTTCACTTATATGAAAGGTTTCTACATAATATGTTAACTTTATTATAAGATAACAATTATATTTTTGTTTATTTTATACTTAGATGTGTAATGTTACCAAAATTTAATGCTAATGATGTATGGACTTGGTTGTTAGCCATTGATCAGTACTATGGATATCGAGTTAATATGTTTATGGGTGTACCTACTATGTATGTAAAACTTATTGAAAATTATGAAAAAATGTTTGAAAAAAATGATAGAATGGTAGAATACATAAAAGCTGTTTGTTCACAAAAAATTAGGTAAGTTTAGTAGTGAAATATTTTATTTAATACATAAAATATATTTTATAAAATTATATTTTATTAAACTTTATTGAAATCTAGGTCATATTTTTTGTTGTTTCGGTTAGAAAGTTGTTAGAAACTTTCTATAAACTTACATGTAATTTTTTTTATTTTTGTTAGTTTGTTGCTTCTATCATTTAATATTTATTATAAATGATGATTATAATTATTTTTTTTATAAAGACAGTATCAGACTTTAAAATATCATCTTAAAAAAGTAAATATAATTATTTGTGCCTTAAATGATAATAAATTAATGTTAAATAACTGTAAAAGATTTCACACAAAACTGATGATATGAGTTATAGATTATGAAAAATATTTCATTTTTTATTATTAACCAAATAAATTATAAGTGATTTTTTAAAATCTTTTTAAAAAATATGTAATAATAATTTATTATTTTTTTTTAGCAAAATGAATATGTTTATGTTATTTCAAATATTTTAATTCAGTTAAAAAATGAATTAATTTAAAAGTTTTAATTAACTTAAATTAACTTTATATATATGTAGGTACCATTGGTATCCAGATAGCACCACTTCCATGGTCTGGGGGCAGATAGTAGTATCATTAAGTATTATAAGAAGGAAAAATTAAATTAAGTCGCGAGTCGGCTAAGACGTGCTTTTGTGTGCATTTTAATTGATATTTGTATTTTGCTTTATATATGTTATTTTTGATTGTGAATATTTAGCAGGGCTTTTGTTTGAGAATAAATATAGATGTATTAAATAATAGTATTGCGTCTATTCTCTGTTCCTCTGGTTGCCTGTTGTATTTCCCACTCTCACACATATATATATATATATATATTAAAACTGCCATAGATATTAGAATATCAAAACATATTTCTATAATAATTAAATAGTTTTATATATTAATAAAAAAATATTAATTTTTGAAAAAGATATATTTTAATTCTTGATATATATATATATAGTTATGCAGAGCTGCATTATCAATTAGGCACTTAAAAGAAAATATGTTTAAGGTTTGTTAAACTTATTTTTAAGAACTTTTTTCATTTTTACTGAATACTCCTGTTACAGTGCCACAATTAAACAATATGAGATGAGGGCTCAAAAAAAGATGTCTTATAAAAAATTTATTTTTAAATCAATGATTGGGGCTTACAAATAGTTAAATTTAACCCTGCAATCAGATAAGTGAATATACTGATTATAGTGGTAAAAGACAGAGGCTCTAATTTTCTATTAGGTCATTTTTTTAAATTTTAGACTTAAATTCTAAATAGAAGGTCCAATTTTAACTTGCTATTGTTAAAAATTGTGTGCAATAATTAGAATAGTCTTAAATAGTTAACTTTTATTTTTAGATTAATGGTTAGTGGATCTGCACCATTACCTAGTACTATTTTCAATCGCTGGGAACAAATAACAGGTCACAAATTATTAGAACGTTATGGTATGAGTGAAATAGGAATGGCTCTTTCAAATCCTTTAAATGGCGAAAGAATACCAGGTAAAAAAAAATTGTTAATTTTTTTTAACTTAAATAAGTATGTTATTTAAAAATACGTGAATTTATAAAAAAAATTTTCTTTAGGATTTGTAGGTTGGCCTTTGCCCGGAGTTAGTGTTCGACTTGTTAAAGATGATAAGGTCTTAGTTGAAGGGAATTCTATTGATACAAAAGTAATTAATACTGAAGCCAAAGAAAAAACTGGAGGATATATTGGTAGTTTACAAATAAAAGGTGATAATGTTTTTAAAAGTTACTGGTGTAAACCTGAATCAACAAAAAAAGAATTTACTGAAGATGGATGGTTTAAAACAGGTGAATTTAAAATGTTTAATGAGGATATTTTTGCTGTCTATTAAATTAATATCTTTAAAACATGGAGTGACTAGAGTATAAATTTTTGAACTAACTAAATATCTTTAAAAAAATAAAACCTAATATTATTTTTTCTTTTTATAAGTTAATAGTATCTAACGTTCTATGATTTCCAGAAAACAATTAGGTTTTGTTTTCTCTCTTTCCTTCTTAACATTTTATCAATTTTAGTTTTTTTTTAAGTATGTATATGTTTAACTAACTTATAAAATAGGAAATAATTTAAAAAATAACTGGTTAATAACAATTTTTAGACCAGTATTTTGGAATATTTTATATTAAATGAAACAATTTAATATAATCACTGGTGGTAAAGTTGAAGTCTGATTATTTTTATTTCTAAAAATTAATAAACCACACTACTTTTCTCAATTTATTATAAAAATGCTAATACCTTTTTAAATACTATTTAAAAAGTTATTATCAACTAGTCATTTCTTAAATAGATCTTTTTTCATTTGTAAGTTGGTTAAACATATTTTTCTATTCAAAAAAATAAAAATGGATTGACCAAATTATTTTTTGAAAATCCTAGAATGTTGGATACTATTAACTTCTAAAAAGAAAAAAATAATATAATGTTTTATTAGTTTTAAATATTGTGTGAATCATAGATAAACAATCACTCTGTGTATTAATCTATATTTTAGTATTTTTAGAAAAATCCAAAATAGTTCTTCATTTTAAATTATATTATTTTTTTAAATATACAGGGTATAACTTTATTCAATACAAGTTTTAAGTGGATTATGTTCAGTGTAGAGTGAAACTAGAGATTTTATTTTTCATTTTTTCTTCTTAGATAAAAATTATATGTTTTTATAGTAACTTATTGATTTTTGGTCAAAAATAAGCCTAAAATAAATATTCAAATTAGATAATTCGGGAGAAATTTTATTCTGTACAATTTTTACTTTTAAATATTTTTTTTTATAATAAAATAATTATAATTGTTTTTGGCATTTATTAATTTTTACCAAAATATAGGAGAAGTTAAATCTTGTTTTGTTCCATTTTCAGTAAAAATCTAGTTAATACTTTTTATTATGAAATTTTTGTTGTAAACTGTGTATTATGATAAATTTTTATTTTTTACCAAAATCCAATGAGTTATAACAGAAAATCTGTAATTTTTATCTGATAAAAAAATAAATAAATTCTCTAGTTTTACATTAAACTAAACATAATATTACTAAAAGTTTTTATTAATGTCTCTCTCTCTCTCTCTCTCTCTCTCTATATATATATATATATATGACTTATTGATTTTATTTCAAGGAGATACAGCAGAGTATGTCAATAATAACTATAAAATATTAGGCCGTACATCAATAGACATTATTAAAACTGGAGGTTATAAAGTGAGTGCTCTATTTATAGAGACAATTATGTTACAAAATAAACTAATTGACGATATAGCTGTGATCGGATTGCCTGATAGTACTTGGGGTCAAAGAATAGCTGCTTTAATTGTAGTAAACAAAGATTCTAAAGAAATTGATGGAAAAAAAATCATTAAAGAATTAAAATTGTGGGCTGAATCTGTTTTACCTTCATACAGTATACCTACAGTAATCAAAGTTGTTGATCAAATACAAAGAAATGCTATGGGTAAAGTTGATAAAAAGTCATTATTGAAAACATCATTTAAAGAATACCTTGAAAATGTATAATTTAATCTGCATACTATATTTATTAAAACATATTTTTATAAACTACATAAAATGTCTAAGACTGCAACTTTTTATTTATTTTTTTAATTTTATCTAATTACTTGTTCAAACAAAAATTTTATATAGACTGTTATTTAACAAAACTGTTGAAATATTATTATATTGTTAATTAAATAAAAACATAATTAACATTTTATTTCTGTAAATTAATAATTAATTATTATTAATAAGGGATCAATTATTGATTGCTGGTTTTTTGAGTCAAGCTACAGTTATATTATCTATCTCCTAAATATTGCAAAACAAGTAATTGAAAAATATGATTTAAGAAAGTTGGATATAGTTTATTACATCGAAATAAAAGCTGATTGTCTTATAGCGAAATCTATAAAAAAGGTTTAGAACACATTTCTAACTCAGTATGATTACAACATACATAATCTAATAATGTCAATAAGCTGTGAATTGAAACTAAATTAAAAGGAAAAAGAAAATGGTAAATTAAAAAAACATTAAGACTTTGTTTTTAATGTTTTTTAATGCTACATAAAATAAATAACAATGTCAAAAATGATATTATAGTTCCATAAATATTTAAATAATGTAATAATTATGTAAAACAATTTTTCTCAAGCCCTGGTCAGAATTTAAACCATTTTAATATTATTCATAAAATTTAATAATTGGGTTTTATATTATTTAATTATAACTTTTTAACATAAAATGATCTATTTTAGCCAAAAAGTAGTAATAATAAGTTTTTATTTATAGCTTAAATAATTTCTTAAACTAATTAAAACATGAATAGTCATTTTTAATTATGGAAATGTAGATGCATAGAATGGGCCAATGAAAATTCATTGTATTTTAAAAATTATGTTATAAAATAATATTTAATAAAGAGCAATATGAAATACTTTTTTATTATGTTATTTGATTATGGAATATTTTTTTAATAATTTCTCAAAGGAACTTATATAATAAAAATTAAAAATATTTTTAGACTACATTTTACTATATAATGTTCAATAAATACGAAAATGGGTTTCTAGTGTTCTCTATGTTACTAACGATTGACCCGTTTTTTATTCGTTGAATATAATATATTTTTTTACTGTAACTAGATATTAGTTTATAACTAACTAGGACTATAAATTCATAGATATTAAAAATGTCAAAATATTAGTTTTAGGCCTGGTTTTTTGGTGTATTTTATTTGACAGATAACAAGATTTATCCACAGGATAGTTAATGATAGTTTTGTTCCAAAATCAAAAATATTCATAATCGTTTTTAAAACTTCCAAATAGTTATCTAGAAAATAATTAGTGAAAAATAAGGAATAATATAACAGGGGCTTTATTCATTGTTTATCATTATCTGATGTATAACTATCTGTTAAATAACTAGACAACTGAAACACTGGGCTTTATATATAAATAAAAAAAGTATAATATAGAATTCATACATTAACAAATGTAAGTATAATATATTTAACTAATCACTCATTATTTGACCTAAAATTAAACTAGTGAGGTATTTAAAACTTTTCTAAATAAATTTTCTTCTAGAATATTATAATTGTTACAATAATATATTAATAGTTAAAATATTATAATCATAAAACATTTTTAAGAATGTATGACAACTTTTGAAATTGTTAAATTAAAAAAAAAAAACCTAAAAAATTTTTTTTATTGTGACATCAGTTTTAAGTTTTAAGTAATAAAATTTCTTAAAAATGTAATTCTAAAATTTTTCTTATTAGTATAATAAAATTGTGTAATTAACTTAATTTATTTAACATTTTACAAAAACAAAATAATAATAATACAATAAATGTGAAAATAATAATTCATCTAATTTAAAGTATAATAAACAAATTAATAATAGATAAATAATATTCTTAAAATAAAAACTAGAAGGTTGTTCAATGAAATAAAAAGTTGACTAAATTTTAAAAGTTAACTTAATTTAAGACCAATTGGACTTAATGAAGTTAATGAGACCATTAGTAGAAGAGTCATGACTAGTAATAGTATTACCTGTTGCTAGTTCTGGTTCAATTTTTTTGGCAAGTTGTTTACCCAATTCCACACTAAAAAAAAAAAAAAATTCAATAAATTAAAAATGTTCATACTTTTACTGAGGAATAAAGTTTGTAATTAAAAACTCTCATCTTACCCCCATTGATCAAAAGAGTTGATATCCCAAATTACTCCTTGGACAAAAATTTTTTGTTCATACATAGCTACAAAATAAATTGTTACACATAAAATTAATAAATTAAAAAAAAAAATTATCAATTGCTAACCAATTAATAATCCTAAAGTATATGGTGTGATTTGTTTGAACACAATAGAATTTGTTGGGCGATTTCCAGAAAAAGTTTTGTGAGCAACCAATTTCTCAAGTTCTTTAGCATCTAAATTTGACCCTTCAAGTTCCTTACGAGCTTCGTCTGGTGTTTTACCTTTCATTAGTGCTTCAGTTTGAGCCAAAAAGTTAGCCATTAAAATCTATTTTATATAAATACAATAATTAATTATCAATATATTTAAATATTAAATCTTACCTTATGATGAACACCATCACTAATACAGTTGTGAGTTACAGCTGGTGCAATGAAATCAGCTGGAATGAGGCGAGTACCTTGATGTATTAGTTGGTAAAAAGCATGTTGTCCATTAGTTCCAGGTTCACCCCATACAATTGGCCCAGTTGAGTACGATTTGATTGGAGTTCCACCCACTGTAACTGATTTTCCATTAGATTCCATGTCACCTTGTTGAAAGTAAGCAGAAAATCTATGTAGATATTGATCATATGGCAGTAAAGCATGGGTTTCAGCACCATGAAGATTGTGATACCAAATTCCCAATAAAGCCAAAATTACAGGAGCCTAGGAAACAAGATTAAGTACATATAAATTTTTACCATATGGTAATTATATACTCACATTTTTTTCTAATGGTGTGTTAAGAAAGTGTTGATCCATATAATGGGCTCCAGATAATAAAGACTCAAAATTTTTAAAACCAAGAGAAAGACATATAGAAAGGCCAATTGCAGACCAAAGAGAATAACGACCTCCAACCCAATCCCAAAATCCAAACATGTTATGTTCATCAATGCCAAACTCTGTTACTTTTTCTTTGTTTGTAGATAAGGCTACAAAATGTTTTGAAACTGCAGACTCCTAAAATAAGAAAGATCATTAATCTAAAGTTAATAATGCATCAGTATGAAAAATTATCTTTACATCTTTGGCTATATTAAGGAACCATTTTTTTGCTGACTTTGCATTGGTAATTGTTTCTTGAGTAGTGAATGTCTTGCTGGCAATAATAAATAATACAGTTTCTGGATTAAGTTTTTTTAAAGTTTCTGCTAAGTGTGTTCCATCAATATTTGATACAAAGTGTACACGGGGTCCCACAGCATAAGGTTTTAAAGCTTCAGTTACCATCAAAGGTCCCTAAGATTACAACTATAATTACTGATGTATTATAATTACTATAATTACATTATATTATATTAATTTGATGTATTATACACATAATTCAATGCCTACCTAATAGTCATATCTAAAAAAAATGATCTTCTTACACACATCAAATAGTTTTTTTTCTCATTCTACTTTTAATAAATAAATCACAAAATTATATACTTTTTTTTATATACAATACCATATTGGTTCTCTATCACCAATATGGATAAATTGAAAATCTCCACAATTTTCATAGCATTTAATATTAATTATCTTTAGAATATGAATAATTTTCAAGTTTACAAACAAAAAATTTAATAAATATTCATATTTTTATCTTCAAGAAAAAATAATACAAATATGATCTAATTTTTAATTGAAAATGAACACATTAAATTTATTCATTTTAAAACTTACTAAATCTGATCCACCAATACCAATGTTAACAACATCTTCAATAGGTTTACCAGTATAACCAACCCATTTTTTTGAAATAACCTTAACAAATCACATAAGATATAAAAGAAGTATTAAATAAAACATTAAAACATAAATATACTTCTTCAGAAAATTCTTTCATGTGGTTTAAAACACTGTTAACTTCTGGCATAACATCACAACCATTGACCAGTATAGGTTTATTAGAACGATTACGTAAAGCAACATGAAGTACAGGTCTGTTTTCAGTAATATTAATACATTCACCACTGAACATAGATGATCTTGCTTCTTCAACTTTACGAGCTTTGGCCTAAATTAAAACATTTAAATTATACTTTAGTCCACAGTTATATTAATGTGTTGTAAAAATAGACTGAAGCTATAAAAGAAATTTTTAAATTAAATGTTAATTTGGCATAATATGTCTCAATCAAGAAACATGAATCTTAGATTTTAGTTTTTATTGGATTATTTTTACTTAAAATCTTATGTATGTATATTATTTATATTAACCCAAAGATTATTGTCTAATTAACTGAAAATTAAACCTAAAACCAAGAGAGATACTTAATTTCGCCAGAAAGACGGGACTCTTTGGTCATCTTTAGAGGTGACTTTAAGGTTGGTAATGTATTAACACTTTGGTGATAACACTTAGGTGGGTAAATCGAATCAAGACAATTCGGTATGAGGTGCGCACAATGGACCAACAGGTCTAAGTGCATGGGCATTATGTCCACCTCAATAATAACTAAACCTAAAACTGAAAATTAAACTATTTAAGTTCAAAAGTTAAAAAATAATAATTTTTTTGGCTGAACTTTAATTAGTTAAGTTCAACCTTTGCAAATGTCCATTTTAACAACATATCTTACTGTTTCTTTATCGGAAAATCAAATAGGGCTAAGAAAAAGACATATTAATACAAAATAAATAGTACAGGTATGATTATTCATAATATAATAATTGTCAATAATCACAAAAATATTTATATATATTAATTAAATTAATTAAAGATATTAAATTTATTAATAAAATATAATATATTAATAATAATATACTAGTATAACACTTCAGTCAATTAAACTTAATTATATTATAAATTAAAAGCCAAAAACTATGCAACAATAAAGTTGCTTAATTTTTCATAGATACTTATAAAAAGTTTTTGTTAATGTATACAAGTAACATAATTAAGGAAATACAGACTCTTTGAACAATATTAAGACTACCGACTTACCAGATTTAATAATAAGCCAAAAGCTTTTTCATCTAATCGATTTTTAGAGTAATCAATCAAAACATCTCCATCATTAGGGGTTGATAATTTCAAACTGCAAATACAAAATAATCAATTTTTAAAAGATGATCATTTTTTAAATTTCAACAAAGAGTATGTTTTACATACTTTATATTTTAAACAATATTCATTTAATGTGATGTTTTAAATTGGAATGTATTTTCCAAAAAATGTTCAATTATATATTTGAAGATTAATAGGATAAACTATATATGATATAGTTATTTTAGCTATATAAACTAAAAATAATAATATTACCAAATGAAATATATTGATGTTTTAGTTTTCTGTCAAGTAAATTTGAAGTAAAAGTAAATAATTCAAAAAATAAACCAAGTTTAATTCCTTTCACTTACGAAATTCAAAAGTAATAATTTCAATTATTTATCCAATTATAAATTAATAATGTTAATACAATAAAATTATCATACAAATGATTAATTATAAATAAATCATTAATTTAAAAATATTTTATATTAAAAAGAAATTTAAATATTTCATATTTTAAAAAATCTATTAATAGAACAATTTTCGTAGGAAAATTAAACTTCTAAAATTAATACATTAAGGTCAAAATCCTGTAACAGAAAATCCTATAGTAACAATTCACAAGGTCAAAAATAAGTTTTTTTACCTGTATTTATTGAAACGATCACATTCGTTGGCAAATAACTGTTTTATATTTAACGAGCGACCAACCGAATTATAATAATCCAAAAGAGTTTTGTAAGCTGGATCATCAGTTAGTAAAGTTTTTCCAGTCATAGTTTTAGAGAAAGTTATAAATATTAAAAAATGTTCTTAAAAGATAGTACTTAGTAAGAACGTAAAATAATAAAGAAGACAAGTGAATTAACTCAAAGTAGCGGATATGAATTAATAATTGGTAATAAGTGAATGTTGATCAAAATTCCACTAGTATAGTTTGCGTCTATCAGAAAACAGCTGAAAACCAACATAGCGCAGCGTAGCGTATTAAGTAGTAGAACATTTTGATATTACACTGTACATAGGCAAATTTTTAAAGGCTGGGAGCAAATCGTTCCATGTGATAACAGATTTTTTTTCTTTGGTATCACAGTGATTGTAGCACTGGCAGCATAATATGAATCCAAAGGAGAAAGAGTGGGGGAGTGGCAGAAGGTCGACCGGCTTGCACTATCGATAATATCGATAATAATACTATAGTAGGAAATCACCAACCAGTCTTTACAATACAGTGACGTAAAAATCGAACTAACGTGTATTTTACAAAAAGTAAATTCTTTATACGGATATAAGTTTATAAAATACAAATGTATGTATAAATATATATATGTACATATATATGTGTTTATCTATTTATATAAGTGTGTATATACCGAATTGGTGAATAATAACACGGAAATAAATCATTTTTGACAAAAAAAAAAGAAAACAGTTTCGTATCGTGAGTGAAAACAATTTTTTTCGTATTAACTATTTTGAAAATTTAAGTATCAAAATATTATCTTTGGACTCGAAATTATCGTTGCCGATTTTCCCGTTTTCTTATCATTGAGCTTTTTTTTTGTTTCCAAGACGAGTGGTGATTCCTTTTTGGTTCTACTCTATCCGAAACGGGCAATCTATTATTTTATTACAATAATAACTTTGTTGTAATTGGTGACTAAATATTTTCCAATAATCGTTTAAATATTTAATTGCATACGTCGAATTTCTATCAAATGTATGTTCAGTTATAAAAAAAATTCTATGTGATACACATGCATGTCGTTGAAAATTTTAAAGAGTAAACGTCCAATTGGCGTATTAGGTTTCATGTTGGCCCCCGCAAATACGTACAGACTCTGTGGATAAACGAGTCACACGAGTCGTTCAAAAATACACCTGGTGGATTTCTCGCTATATTATTAGTAAGTATATCATAACACTAAGATTTGAAGACAAAATGGCCGTTTCCCCCTTGTCATTGCCACACGAGGGTCGTTGGTGTCTGATCATCTTCGCGCGTGTCCACCCTTTACGTACTATCAACACCTACTAACATACATTTATCTGTGATCTATGCACCCACCCAACCCTTTTAAATACACAACATTATTCATTTATTCTCAAATAACAGTGTTACTTCACTTTCAATATTTAAATGAATTTAATAATATAAAAAATTAGTATTTTTGCTGTTTATAGAAAAACAATATATTTTTTTTGTTTGATTGGTAAGTTACTAAATTACTTCGAAATAAATAAATTGGTTTGCAATAATTTTAGATGAAAATTTCAGTGATAATAGTGGATATTTTCATTAATTGATATTTCACAGTTTTTTCTTTATTGATACTTCACATTTATAGTTGCTTAAGTTTTATTTATACCAGTAGTTTTGTTTATTTCTAAATTTATTATCTAATACTATAGTTGCTAAGTATATAACTTATCTAACTATAACTGAATGTGTTTTAAAAATTAAAAGGGAATTTTTACATTATCAAATAGTGGTTTAGATTTGATACTTTAGTGATTCCTAGTTAAAATTGTATTTTGAAAATGCCTTCATCACATTTTATCATGTTTTCAATTAATAATAATTTTATTGTTACTAATTAAGGGTGCGGTTTATTATAAATTACAATGAAATATCATTACCAATTTGGTTACAAATAGCATTTCTGTACTATTTGTATTATCCAACCTAAACTATTTACTTATTTGATTGTAGATGGTTTTATTTTTGAATTCTCAAATTAATGTTTTTGTAAATACTTTCTTTTATTGTGGAACTGTTTAATTATGTTAATGATTAAAATAATGTGTATTTTATACTTTATTTATTATGCATTACTATTTTATATTGATATTTATTTTATCATTATAGTGTACGACTCTGCTGCAGAGATGATTTAAATGGATCCTCAGATAGGTTGGCTGCAACCAGAACAAGTAGGTCCTGCTCAAGAATTTTGGTCCAGAATATTGGACTCTACTGAGGACACTGACTGTAACGACGAAAAATATAGCACTGAAACTGTTCAAGAAGAAGACGACGACGACGATTTTTCGTTGCCGTTAGATTGGAAGTTTGATTTTTCTATTGATGATCAAGAAATTAAAACTAGCAATCTATATGAGCACGGTTTATTTACAAACATAGCTAGTACATACGACATGAATAAAATGCAAGCACATTACATTGGAAAGTTTGGAGGTTGTCCATGGAGACACGGAAAGAGTTATGATCGTCAACCTATTTGCACGTATGTACTTTTAATTTTCAAAAAAAAAGTTTGTCAAAAAATTATTATTGAAATACAGATATATTAGCAAATTAATATTTAAATGTTTGAATTTCTTTTATACATATATGTAGTTATTGTCTGAAATTAATTTTATAGTTGGAATTAATTTTTTATTTATAGCCTCCATAAAGAGATAGAAGACTTTTTTGCATACATGTCAGCCACGCCAGAAGAACACAACATGAGACTTGATGTTTTGGACCGTGTTACCAGTGTTATACATGCTGAATGGCCCAAGGCTAAAGTTGAAGTATTTGGTAGTTTTCGAACGGGTCTTTACTTACCAACTAGGTTAAATTTAATACATTGTAATGATATATAATATAACAACATATCAATTATTATTATTTTACATTTTAGTGATATGGATCTAGTAGTGATAGGTGAATGGGATACATTGCCATTGCATTCACTTGCTCAAGCTCTACTTAAAAATGGTGTATGTAATGAAAATATTCAAGTTTTAGATAAAGCATCAGTAAGTAAAAAATTATCCATGTTAGTTAAAGAATTAAAAATATTTTTTTGAAATACATATTTTAATTTTGTTATTTTTATCTTATATTATTTTTATACTTAAAGTACTGATTTAAAAAAAAAAAATTTGTTAATGATTTATTTTCTTAGCACTTACTAGAACTTTTTAATAAGGCAGTAGTGAAGTTATGACGCCTGAGGCATTTGCCTTAAGTGTTATTGTAAAGGCCATCAAAATGAAAGTTAAAGACTTTTATATATTTTTAAATAAAATAACAAAAAAGAAATTGTTTAATCATTAAAGAGTTAGAATTTTTTTGTATAGATTCATATATTTAAATTTCTCTCTATTAACAATATGTTAAATTCTAAAAGTTGCTTTAATTATAAAAGACCATGGCAACTTAAAATTGAAATTTCTGAAAATGAATTATGAGGTTAAAGAATTTGAAATTATGAACTGTGGTTACCTTGGTCAACTATATCATAATTAATTTATTGTTATTCCAATTTTTATACAGGTTCCAATAGTTAAAATGACAGATAAGGCAACTGATGTCAGAGTGGATATAAGTTTTAATATGAATAATGGTGTAAAATCAGCCGAAATGATTAAACACTACATGGATGTCTATCCAATGCTTCCTAAATTAGTCTTAGTGCTTAAGCAGTTTCTAGCTCAACGTGATATGAATGAAGTATTTTATGGAGGAATATCTTCTTATAGTTTAATCCTTATGGTTGTCAGTTTTTTACAAGTATGGTATTTTTTAAAGTATATTCAAATTAATTAGAATAATTTATATTTTTATTTTATTTTTAGTTACACCCTAGAGGTGACTTAAATTATACTACTGCCAATCTCGGTGTATTACTTATAGAATTTTTTGAATTATATGGTAAAAAATTCAATTACATGCACACAGCTATCCGTGTAAAAGATGGTGGACAATACATATCCAAAGATGAAGTATATTTTTAACTTTTTATCACTATGTACTAAGTTATAATACTACAATTGTAATAATAAATTTGATATATTAGGTTCAAAAGGACATGGTCGATGGACATAGACCTAGTATTTTGTGCATAGAAGATCCATTGACTCCTGGTAATGATATTGGGCGCGGTTCTTATGGTGCTCTTCAAGTAAAAAGTGTATTTGAATATGCATTTACAACACTAAAGGCTGCTCTGGACCCACAGATTGTATCTCCCTGTTTTAGGTAAAATTTTAATATATTTTTTTTCGTGACAAGTGTTTTTATAACCACCAATAATGAAAATACTTTTACCCTATTAATTTACTTTTCTTTTAATTGCAATACTATAATTTATTTAACTTAGGTTAAATTACCATATTCTGAAAATGGCCTTATAATTAAGTGAAAATTAAACATAAATGACTATTTAATTTATATTTTTTTAATCTAATCATATATATATATATATGAAGAATATAATTTCAAGTATTAAACAATTTCGGCAGCTAAACTACTTATGTTAAATAAAATTTGTTATTTTTAGTATACTTGGACGGATAGTTCGAGTTAATGACAAAGTAATTTTATATCGGCAATGGGTGAGAGATAGTTATGCAGTACACAATACTCAACGAATGATAATTACAAATTTGTTGGGTACTAATACCATTAGTAATAATGTCAGCATTTCGACAAATACTAGTAGTAGAGCTTCAACTATTTCTTCAGGATCAGGTTCTGCTGATTCTGTAAGTGCTTTAATTTCTTTATCCAACTTATTCTCTAATTTAACTAAACATTTATCATATTTATTTATTATACAGGATTCAGAGAGTAGTATAGAAAAATTAAGTGACCACGGTGATCATAATGATCAAAATAGTAATTATCAACCTAGACGTAAATTCCCCCATTATCACCGTCATAATAATTGGAATAATCATCAAAACCATCAAATGATAAACCCAGGTATTTAAATTATAACTATTATTAACTCTTAATATTATCAAATTATTTAAAATGCTATGCTTAAACTCTCAGGTAATCATACTACAATGCGCACACAAAGGATAATATGTCCAAGTCCTGCTAATAATTACCAACCAAGGGGTTTTACAAACAATAATTATAACAATAATTACAATCATCATCAAAACTATCGACCTAATGCTGGAAATAAACATCAATATACTGGTAATTACCAGCCACATTTTGGTAATTTTACTACGTCACACAAAAGGCAAAAGCGAAAAAACCAAACCCAAGATGTTAGATGAAAAAAACTCCTAAATTGTATAATTAAAGTTATTTATTAAGACAAAGCAAATGATAACTTATAAAAAGTATTCAAATATAAAATTATATAAAAAAATAATAATAATAATAGAAAAAAAAAAAATACAAAACTATTACAAAATATATTAAAAAAAATTTTTAAAATATTATGAGAGATCGTCTGTTTTTGACGAATTTTTTTTGTTTTACAACCTAAAGAATAATCATGTATAAAAAAAACTATTTAACAAAGTTATAAAAAAGTTAAGTTCTGTGAAAAATATGTCAAAATTTAATTAAAACCTAAATAAAAGCCTAAATGCTCTTTTAAACTATAAAATCCAAAAAAATGAAGATAAAAAAAAAATTATAAAAAAAATACAAAAAAAAATTACAGCGATTTTTTATAAAGCTGTCAAAATATTTATTTTAAAATTATTCACATGATTTTTTTATTTATGCATACTTTCAAATGTGTCATCTTATGTAACACAAAACAAAATTCAATCTTAATTTAGAAGATATTTTGTTAAGTCAGGCGATAGAAAAAACAAGTACAACACGTTTCATACGCGTATAAAAAAATGTATTTTGTGTAAGTTATAGCTCCAATTTAATAAAAAATATCACTGCCACCTTGCACTATTATAAAATCTATTACATGTGGCATATATTTATATTTAATCGCGTGCATATAAGCCCACTGTGTTCCTAGTCATTTTTATACAATTAATTTTAATTTACATGTAAATTTGTAGTAATAAAACAAATATTATTTATTTTAAGAGTGCAAATAATCAGAAGTAATTTATGTATGGACTATGTGTCTTTCAAAGATAAATATATAAAATCATTATAATGTAAAGTAACTTGCAAAGCAATATCAGGAAATGTTCATATAGGAGCTTATTAATATCTTTACTTATGCTAATGACATGTGCTATAATACATATATAAAAGTTTTTTTGTTTTAATTTAATTTTCTCTTTTTTTTTCGTTAGCATTGTTTAGATATAAGCGTGAAGTATGAAAAGTTTACGAATTGTTATTATATTCATAAGTGTTAATGTACTACAATACACCACGTTGTATCCTTAACTGTCATAAAATTATTTGTGAAAGGAATTTTACCAACGATTGGGTGCACTTTATATATTTATATATTTATTTATATATAAATAAAAAAAATTAAAATTTATGACATAGGTATTCACAACATAGTGTAGGTGTAGAAAACAACTGTATAATAATTATGGAGATTGTTTTTTAAGTCACCAAAATAATGTAATAAAAATGTATATTTTAAAAGTTATAAATACTACATCTGTTCTATATATATACACATATATATTTCTTTTTTTCTTTTTTTTTTTTTAATAAAAATCTTGTATAAAATCTGTGTCCTTAATGTGTTTAAATTAATGTTTACACTATTGCCCCAAGTTCTAAATCTCCTATTTCCTTGAATATTATATATCCCTATTTATTATGAAAAATATTTAATGTAATTTAATAGAAGTTCGATTACAATTTTATAATTATAGTATTACCTTATATATAACTTATTAATAGAAGAAAATTTTATTTCAAAGTAATATTTAAATTGTCTTTTGCATTTTTTAATCATACAAACTAATTCCATGTAATATAAAATGAAAATTATCTTCCATTTTTCTTGATCAATACTTTTGCAATAAAAGAGCAATTTTTTTTATTTACCAACATATTTGATTGAAAATATACATACAAGCTACTGTAACATAAACTGTAATGATTAATTGGCAGTTTAAGCTTATGTTAGTTGAAATTCTATAAAATGTCTCTTAGCTTATAATAACAGTAGTTATATTACATTTCAACAGCAGTTAAATTATACTTTTATTTTAAGTATGGTGATAAATTTAAAAATAAATATAATTAGACTGATATTTAATTTATTTAACAATGTATATATTGTAGAATATTTAAAATGTTATAATCTGTTATGTACAATATTATGTGAAAAAAAATATCGTTGTTATTTTATTTGTATTTAAAATAAAGATATTTATCGACCTGATTTTATACAACCGTTATTATTGATATGCGTTGATCTCATTTTAACTTAAAAAACAGCTTATTATTCTTAGTGGTACCGAAATGTTACAAAATAATTATTACAATATAAATTAAAAACGTGCTAATCACCCACTCACTCGTTTTTCGACACATTAAAAATAACAATAACAAAAGTGTGTCCAAGTTATATTGTTGTAAAAGAGGTTAACAGTACTCAGTACAATTCTTAAAACTACTATGAAACTCTATATGAATTACTTTTTTAAACACACTGAAACATAATTATACGTATAAAAATTTTTTCAGTAACTTTATTCAAAATATAAAAATAAACTTTTGATGCAGTCATTGTTTAAAAACAACGCTTAAGCGTTGTCAGTTAGATCTGAGACAATATGCAAAGTGAATTATGGATAGTTTTATCTGTACCAGTTGTAAGAAAATATTTGTTTAGCCTATTTTGCGCTCACAAAATTGTTTTATGTGAGCACAGAAATTGATACTAATTATCGCCGCCTCCTTGGCAAAATCGCGTAACATTTTAAGAAATGTTAAAATAAAATATAGGTGCATATTCTAAGCGTTATTGAAATAAAAAATGTCTGATATTTCTTCAAATAACTCATCATTAAAAATCTTATTTTCATTGTTAGCTGTTCAACATTTTTTTTCTTTTCTGTCACCTTAACAATTTCCAAAAATTGAGTAACACGGTTTTGCCATGAAGTTATATTGAAGTAATCATTAATGACAATGAACTTTTGTACTTTTTTTTTAATAATAATAGAACATATAAAAGTACTCTCCAGTTTTGTAAAATGTCATCAAATAAATTTTCGACTGTATTGACGATTGGGATTTATTTTTTATAATTTTGTACTTTTCCATGAATACATGATTAATATACATTTTTTTTTGTTCGGGATGGTAGCGAACATTAGTATATTTTCCAGAAAACCCACTAGTAATGATATTGAGAAAAAAACCCATTATAAAGTACTGTAAATCAATATTTTAACTTATTTTACTTATTACTGCTTATAATAATAATTATGATAAACTATAATTGCATAACACGATATTAAATTGATTAGTGTAAATTATGTTTACAGATCTATAAGTTAATATCCATTTTTTTAATATTTTTTTTTGATGATGTAAAAATATTTTGATTTCAACTATCAAATATTGTATGCTTTTTTTTTTTGTCAATATATTTATTCTCATTTAAGATAACACAAAATCTCCAACGAAGAATTGACTATTCCCCCAGAAAAAAGTATTCATATACTGTTATAAAAAAACAATTTTAGGATGTGAGGAATTAATTTATCACTTCCAAAAGTTTGATTTTAATTATACCTATGCCAAGTATAGCTTAAAAAGAAATTAAATGGGAAAGGGAGCTATAATTACTGTTTATTTAACGTTCTAGTTGATAAATAATTTTATTTTACTAAATTCATTAGGTTGGTGGTTATAATTTCTTTAGAATCAGTTGACCAATGTGACTATTCATGGTAGCATTTTTATATTTTTATGTGTATACAATTAAAACATAAATTTAAAAGCAAAAATAAAACTGTAACTTGTGTATCGTCACTTTAATGTTAAAAGGTACTTAAAACATGTTCATCTTAAAGAGTTGAAAACATTTTACTTTATTTTAGAACCAGAATTTTTTTCGGATGGAATTATTTTTTTGTATTTGATTGCGGAAATACTTTTCTCAAAACTTCAAAATTGGGAAAATATATCGAAAAGAAGATATGCTTTATATAGTTGATTACATTCGGAAATATTGAAAAATGTACAAATCAAATTATAAAACGTGACCTCTTTAGATACGCCCTATAAACATCTCAAGCCTGATGTGTATGATTTTCTTACATGTAAATGTCGAAGAACTTTAGAATAGTAGTAGTTAGTTCAGTAACACTCTTTTATTAAAATTCATAAACGCATCAGAATTTTTTCGTTTTATATGATCAGTTTTTCAAAAGGAATAAAAAATATATATCTGTTCCTCATTCAAATGGGTAAAAACATTTATTTCCATTTTGGAATAATTAAACGGGTGAGATTTTTCATCATCTATTAGGGATCACATTCTGTATAATTTAGTCTTGATATTTAAAAATGATATTTTCATTATATGATATTACATGTAGATTTTTGTGCATAAAAATGTTACATAAGTACTTCAGTTTTTTCGTCTCTACGCATTACATGATTAGTGAAGCATTTGAGAAAGAGGTAGGGTTAGAGATAATTTAGAACACACGGCACTCGCAAATCTAGTTTCTACTGCATCTACTTCGACAGTACTACTTAGTTCTCCACTAGTACTGTCATTAGTTGTATTGTTACGCGATAATATATGTCTATTTATACACACAAATTTTTAGGTAAGTATTAATATACTGAGGCTGTTAATATTCTAATGTCAATTTGTACATCGATATTATTAATTTATTTTTAATAATAATATTTAGATAATGGTTTAATTTAATTTAGAATAAATGTTTTTGGTAGAAAATTTGTTTAGATATGACATAATGAATACTCCCTTTAGTTAAGAATTTCATCATTAAACTTATAGACTATGTCATTATATTAAAATTTAATTACATATCATTTAGTTGGATAAAATAGAATATAATTTTTTTAAACATATGACTGATTATTTCTAGTGGCACAATAAGAAATGATGTATGGAAGGTCCATATAGCTTTTAGAACGATTAGTCAGGAGATTTACCCCTCCACAACCCTCGATACTATGATTTTATATCGATTGGTGAGGTATAAACCCGAAAACCCCTTTTGTTGCACCACTGATTAGTTCTTGTGTTTATTATATTATTACTTAAGATTATTTCTACAGGTTAAATTACATGTAAAGTAACCATAAAAATGCGATTTTTTTATTTATGGCATATAACTTGTAGTATATGATAGTTATAAGCAATTTTTATTTATTTTTTAGCTAGACAAACTATCGAAAAGTACAAATTAAGTATTAATAGTGAAATTTGAATTTTATTTAATAAGTAATAAACTTAAATAAAATCAAAAATAAATGCGTACTCTTACCCCATTGATGCGGTGAATATTTTGTAAAATTTTCTTATTGACCAGTATCGTTAACATACACATTTTATTAAAAGTAATGGATACGGAATGAATAAAATTATGGGTACATACAAAATAAATTTAGCTTAATTTGTGGTGTTGGAATGGATTTGATTGACGAATAATTTATTAGTTCATTACAAAGTCGGCATGTCCAGGCTATGCTTAAGTTGATCAATGAATGATACGGACTTTAGTCTCTTTTTCATTTCCATTCTTTCTCATCAACTCTCTAAAAATTATTTTTACTGTTACATAATAAATATATTTTTTTAAAAGACTCAAATACACATTGTTAATATATATTTTACTATGTATGTTTTTATGTTAATTTTCTAATCAGTGTTGTTAATAAGTGAAATAATTTTTAATTACATAATATTACAGTAGTTATTGCCATATTAACAATGACAAGTGATTTATCCATTGAGTATTCATTTCCTGATGGGTTTATGTTTGGCGCTTCAACAGCTGCTTATCAAATAGAAGGAGCATGGAATGAAGATGGTAATTTTTTAAAATATTTTTAGTTGAAAATTAATATTTGTTTTGACATTTAGTGTTGAACAAATAACAAATTTTCTTCTTTGTAACTAGGGTAGAAGTATCAGTTTTTAGTTATTTGCCAGTGTTCGGTAAATTTCTTGATTAAGATATCGTACAGTCATTTTAAAGGTTTAAAAAAAAGTTAATTATTTTGACTTATTGACGAAACCTAAACGATTTTCATTGTTCGTTTTTTTTTTATATAGACACCGTACATTTATGAAACAGAATGGTGCGTAGTGGTAAAAATTCACGTAACTCTTGCGATCAAACTTTTGCACATTAAAATTTTTGTTCAGAATAAAAAAATAATCATGATAGAATTACAAAAATATTAAACATTTTTTTTTTTGTAAAAATTTAACTTGAAGTAACTCACCGTATCTTTTATTTTATATTGAATGCTATTACTCATTTATAATTTTTTGATAAGATTGCTTATTTTTTTTTAATATTATATAATATAATTATATATTTTATAATTTTATTCTGATCACCTAGTTACGAATATTTTCTCACAAATTCACAGTGTCTAAATAATTTCCGTTTTGGTTTATTTAATTCAATGATACATAAATTGATTTCTAGTATAATATAAGAAATGATGTAAAAATTCCCATGCGTCAGTATATTTTTAAAATACACGTTAATTTTATACACAAGTAGGTTTCAGTTTAACATAATGTATCGAAAATTTGTACACAAATATAATATTTTTATCACTATTTATCAATATTTTCTCTTACATTGTATGTATTTAAGACTTTCAGTGCCTGTATGTGAAAAGTTAGACATTTTTTTAAAAGTGTAGTATTTTTTAACTTTAATGCAAAGCTGAAAAGGTATTAGTTTTGTGATAGCATATGGTTTTTCAATCTATTCATGAAAATTGTTAGCTCTCATTGGACTAAATTAACTGGTCTCTGAACAAAAGAAACTCGATTTTAATCTAGTTGAACTAATTTTGACGAAAATTAAAAATAAAAATCTCTTAATTTTAAAAATTTCTTAAAAAATATTTTTAGAAATATCCTTCTTACACTACCTAAAAAAGGCATTTTCAAAATATTTCTTCCCGATGTTAAAAATAATATAGATAATAATCAAATTTTAATAGAGTTTACTACAGAAAATAAGCTTTATTTTGATATTCTTTCTGTAAAAAACATAACCTACAGAAAAGGTTTAAAAAAGACCACTCACTCATGTAAACAAATTTTTTTTAACGCAATTTATGAAAATTTTCCGTAACGTTTGACAAACCGAAATCTATTTCACATTAATTATTTTAAGAAGTACTTAATGATTTACTATAAAAACGTTCCCATAGAATTTTTTCTATGAGTTATTTGACTTTAAAACTCACTTTTCAAAAAAAAATTTAATATATTTGCATCAAAATGTTTTTAGCTTCGATGCGAAGCGGAGAAGGTATTGGTTTTACTATGATATGTTTTTTTTTTTTTTGTGTCTGTTACCACTTTTTCTCAGCTCTCACCGAATGGATTTCTTTCAACGATAGACGTATCTAGTCGAAGACATTACCCTCAAAAATTTCCCTCGTTCCCCGTAAATAGGGGAAACCTCCAAAAAAATTACAAATTTAAAAATCGCTAATTTTCGAAATTTTTAAAAATTTTTTTCTTAAAACTTCCATAACTTTTCAAAAATGAACAAATCAATATAAAATTTTTTTTTATAGATTTATGTTGTCTTTACCTATCATTTGGTATATTTCTTTTATAAATTTAACCCTTTACCTACCAACAGGGGGGGATTTAAAATGACAACTTTTTCACAAAAAATTTACTTTTTCAATTTAACTTTTGAAAGTGTTCCGGAAAGTCTGATACTTTTATATATATCTTAAATTAAAGCTAATGTAATTAAATTTATTATGGAAAAAAAAAATTTCGGACTTTATATTGTCTTCACGATGAAAATGGCTACCGAATGCTATTTTTGTGTGAAAATTCTGGATTTTATATTTTACATTTTTTACTTTATTATAACGCTATAACTTATTGAAAAGATTAATACAATTTTTTTATGAGAAATACTATTTTTTAATAATCCCTTCTTCATTTGACATACTTTATCTTAATCAGGATATTAATAAGAAAATAGCAAATCATGTAGCTTTAGGAATAATCCACCAATTTTTTTAAATTAAACACTATCTAACAATTTGCATCGAAGCGTTTTTTTTTTTATAGTGATTTTAATCACTGTCAGATATTATTATACTTGATCCAACTATGCTACGTCGCCACTGTGTCGCGACCTCCCTGTTCTGGGTGTTTTTTTATCATAGTGATTTTAATCACTATATTTGTCTAATTATGCCGCGCCCCCGCTATAGTTACTTATTTTAAATTTCCATTTGGACAATGATCTATTTTTTATAGTTACATTTCTTCAATTTTCATTTGGATTTTGGTTTAAAGAACAATATTCTGGGTTACTATTAAATACATTATTATAACTTAGATTTATGATTTCCTAAAAATAGGTAAAATTTGTTCTCTATATAGGTATAAACTAACTATTATTTCTTTTACAGGAAAGGGAGAAAGTATTTGGGATCGTTTAGTCCACTCTCGCCCAGAATCAGTAGCAGATGGTTCAAATGGTGATATTGCCTGTGATTCTTATCATAAATACAAAGAAGATGTAGCGCTTATTAAAGGATTAAATGTAAAAAATATTGAATTTTTTTTTAATCATTTAATTTTAAATAAAACATTACTTGGGGCTCCTGATAGACAGTGCACCGATACTACCAGTCCATCGGCCTCCTTTTGGGCCACTGCTCCAATTTTTATACTTTCTTTACATAAAATCATGTCTCAAAATTTAATTGCACAGCGATTAGTTAATTTTTGCAAAATGCTTTTGAAAGGCATTTGACATAAGCTGTATGTCGAACTATCGAATAACATAACATTTGCTTCGATTCAATGTTGATTATAGTATAGTATACTGAGCTATATACAGAGTGTTCAGTAAGTCAGGAAACGGGTTTCTATTGTTCTCATTGTTTGTAACAATGAGAACAATAGAAACCCGTTTCCTGACTTACTGAACACTCTGTATATA